CTATTAAAACAATGTTTTACAATATTTCGACTTTTTATTGACAATAGAGCTTTGAAATTTATCGAAGACAACATCCAAAGTACAACATTCGAATGGTTTGCTAACATTTCCTGTTAACCATGCAATAATTTAGTATCGGAAATAACGGAGTTTTGAGAATCAATTAAAGTTGCTTGAAAATATTTACACATAAATTTTGATTATTTCAAATGGATTATTACAACTTTGTATTAATAATAATAATAATAATGTGCAATATTAACGCTATTCGTTTCATTCATTACTTGTTTTAAATGTTTATAAAATTAAGTACAATTTATTTTTTAGTTGTTTTTTCTGCTAATATTTTATCATTGATTTCTTTAATGTTGATTTTTATCATAATAAGATACATTACACAATGATTAAAAGATTAAATATTTTAATTTAATTTATTAAATTAGGCCAGTAGTGTTTTTCAAAGTTTCTAAATTGGTGCAATCTTCTTAAATTTTCGTATCGAATTCTTGTGTCTTGTCAAAAAAGAAATTCTTTGGGTAATTTTCCGATGCAGCACTTACCAATACAAAAGCGAAAGAATTCGTAAGTCGTTAATGTGTACTGTACATTACCTAGCTAATCTGCAGATTAACTAGGGTAATCCGTTAAAGTTGCTAAAATTCTTCTATTTCTCAAATTACCTAGATAATGTGCAGAGTATCTAGGTAATCCGCAAATTACCTACTAGGCACTCGGTAAAGTGAAAATAAGATCTTTGGTGGAATAATAGCAACGTTTCTGTACGTTTAAATTAACATAATGTTCTTTATTTAATTTTCGATATCTAAAGAATCAAGTTAATACAATCAAACAATCGACAAATTAGTTGATAGAATCAATCATCAACCAATTAAAACACATACAAAAAATCAAACGGTTTCAAATATTAATACAATTAGGAAAATTATTATATAGATAATCACCTATGGAATTTCGGGACTTTGAGTATCTATCTGAACTGAGGGGACCGAGACGACTTCAACGATACCCTACTTTTGGACCGGAGACGAAAAATAATAAAGTTATCATACTTTTTCTGGTGATCGCATGATATAATTGTGCAGTTAATGTTACCTATGGTGAGTAAAATGGCGGCTCGTCTCTGATTCCAGCAAACAGAAGAAATGAAACAGTGAGGACGCACGTTCTAACCTAACCTATTCTAATAAATTACCATAATTATTACCAACCAAATTATTAGAATAGCTTAGGTTAGGTTTGAACGTGCGTCCCCACTGTTTCCTTTCTTCTCTTTGCTGGAATCAGAGACGAGCCGCCATTTTACTCACCATAGGTAACATTAACCAATTATGCTTACTTATTAGTGCACTCTAAAGATTGGTGACACTTTGAATTTCATAGCAATTGGTTTTTGCGACAAGCACACCTATTTGTAGTACATTTATTTGTAGCAAAGATCTTATTTTCACTTTACCGAGTGCCTAGTAGGTAATGTGCGGATTACCTAGATACTCTGCACATTATCTAGGTAATTTGAGAAATGGAACAGTTTTCGCAACTTTAACGGATTACCCTAGTTAATCTGCAGATTAGCTAGGTAACGTACACATTAACGACTTTCGAGCTTTAGCGGTAACAGATATACAATTCGACTTTTTTGTATTTATCTAAGTTTTTTTATTGCATCCTTAATTAAAAACAAAGTATATTGTCATTAACAATACATAGATCATTTAAAAGCCTACTCTTCACCATACTTTATGGATTTGATTGAAAAGTAAAATGAGATCAATTGTTACGAAGGTAAAATTTTAATTTGTCTTATCCGATTCAAAGTTTAATGTAAACAGTTATTATTAATATATTCACCCAGTAAACGTTTCCTAAAGATAATATATCTACCATTCAAAAATACAAAACTAGTTTTGATACTGGTTATGGCTACACTTTATAAGATCGTATTGTGATTCTATTGTTGATAACTCTAATCTGTTGTTAATAATATATTGCTAAAACAATAATTCCATTTCAAATTGTATTTTAAATAAAGGGTCGTCCATTAATTGTGTACAGTTTAAAGAGGGAGTGGGTCGCGTAAAGTACACAACAGGAAAGAAGGGAGCCAAAAGTGGCTCACAGGGCTCACAAACTATATATGTAATTAATTAATGGATGTCACCTGAAATCAAACGTTTCATTGACCAGAATTTATAACTAAATGTTTGCATTATAATCGTAATTTTGTAACGTCGAGTATAATAATTTTAAACTTCTGCTTCTAAGATATTTAAGTCTTGATCATAAAAAATTATCGTTTATACCCTTCATTATTATTAAAGCATTAAAGTATTAATAATAATTAAATGAAAAAAAAGAGACGATATAGTAAGAAAATTAAATAATTTACCTCGTAATGAATTATTTATCAATCGAGACTTAAAATTTATTAAAATAGTTCAATAGTTTTTGATAAATTATTAATTCATTACTTTATATACTACATAATGGACAATAAAATATGATTAAAGTAAGTTAACTGTTTAGAAAATTAAATATATCATTTCTCGAATGTTTTTCTTGTTAACAATTATAACTCAATTGCAACCTGATTGGTATTCCAATATAAAATAATATAATTTAACTGAATTAATTGAATGGGACTGTTTTAAAACGTTAGATGCTCTTTTCTTCACTCTTTTTCAAGACGGGTTCTGTGAGTCTTCACAATGCTTTTCTTTCTAATTGCTTATACCTTAAATTATATCGTGTTCAAATTATTTAGATAAATGTTTGAGTAATTAGATGTATAACTGGAATATAGATATGGATAATACTTTCTAGAAGTAAATATGGAAAAAGTTTTAACAGCTGTTGTATGTAGCAGAGGTTAAATTACCCGGGCCACTAGATTGAGCTTTAATAAGCTCAATTTACAGTAGTGGCCCGGTTAATTTAACCTCTGTTACATAGTTGAGCTGTTAAAACTTTTACAGTACTATAACCATACACTTACCATAAATGGAATAAGTTCTTATAAACAGATTTTTATTATAAATATATACACAATATAACTAATGTATTTTTCATGCTCTGCTTGCACAATACTAGAGTATTGTGAGTCTATTATAATTATGATCGTTGTGCGAATATTTACAATAACATATAAAATATATGCATTGTTATTAAGTGCTAGCACCTATATATATGTAGGCTATATATATACTGTGTTCTAAATAAATTCTTTCTTGTGTCATTTTGGTCTACTTTATGTCATGATAAAACTAACGTAGAATAAGAGTTATACAGGATGGCCGGAGCCGCTCATAGTGAATGTAGGGTGAAAAGAGTTAAAATTAAATGGGCGGTATACAGAAGAATTATATACAGTATAAAGGAATCTATAAATTACTACTGTATTAACTTTGAGATAAATGGCTGGATGACCGAGGCGGTTAAGACAGAACTCTAGTGCTATGGGGGATATGGAATCGAATCCGAGCGATCGAAAAACCTCAAAATTTTTTTCACGGCCTTTCTGGGATATATAGGATCCCATCCGCTCCCGTTTCGAATGTTAACAAACTCACGATGAGTATGTGGAAGAAAGGAAAGGAAAATAAAAAGCTTCGGAATAAAATGAGTGATGAATAGGCCCACCAGTGACCAAGCGGTTCCATTCCTCGAACACAGAGTTTGGTAGTGGGTTCGAGGACGGGCTGGCTACGTGGAGTTTTCCGGGTTTTCTCCACCTCTGTAACACCTCAATAGGGGGCAGTTATCCTTAAAAAGATCTCCCGGAAGGCATTCCCCTAGGCAGATGGCCCAAGTGTTGCGTTGCTTAAGTTAATAAATAATATGAGTGACGAATTAAAAAAGTGGCAAATATTTTGCGCGCTTCGTCATTTATGAATGAAATTTTAAAAGACTTTTGATGAATTGTTCTTTAAAACATTATTTAAAACAATTTTCTATTTGTAAACGGAAGAGCAGCTCTGTTCACAAATATAACTAACTAGCTGTTACCCGCGACTTCGTCAGCGGAGGTTTTGCAAGCAAATCCCATTTACATCCAATATTTCAATAACCATAGTAATTGTTATATAACACCTACCGCTGAAGAGAATTGCCGAAAATCAAACGAACTATTTTCAATTTGATCAATTTTCTGAAACGTTTACAATCGTTNTCACTTCTCAGATAATTAATTTCTCAGAATTTCCATCAGAAAGAAGTTATTAGCGGAAGAATATTGAGTTAAAGAATTTGTCTGTATTGATAAAACCAATTTCTAAAATCAAATTTTATACAACTAATAAATTGTAGTTGTATAGAAATATTTATTACTGAATAATCATAAAAAAATTTAAAAAATTAATTACTTAAAATATATAATTTGTAAATTATAATTCGCGAATATTCTTCACTTTTAATATAAATCTAAATGTAAATTAAATATTTAAAAAAATTATATTACATTATACCTTATTTTATAATTATTTATTACATTATACCTTATTTTATAATTATTTATTACATTTTTTTTTATTACAGTCAAACCTCTGACGGAAACATAAAAAAATGGCCGTTATTGGGAGTGGCTTTTGGAGATTATTTTGTATGAATTTTTGCTCAATATTTCGCCGTGGTTATTATTGGAAGTTCAACTTTATAATAGTTTTAATTAAAAAAGATTTAATTGTACAATTGTTAAAAATTACAAACAATTGTTAAAATTTTCATATTTTTTAAAGAATGAAATGAGCTTATTTTATGTTTAGAAGTAAAAGTCGAGCTGAATATAAAAATAATCTTTTGTCAAAGTTTAACTCATTATTAAATAAAATGCAGCTTTTTAAACACTTAAACAAACAAATATTAATTTAAAGATCATCCAATGAGAAAATATTCAAATTCCAAAATATTTTTAAAAACATTCAAAAGCTTCCTTTCTATCGATTAATTAATTCAATTAATTTTTATTTTAAATCATAATTAATTCATTTAGGCAATTTTTTTCTATCTGAATTAATAAAGAATTAGTTGATCGAGTGACTGTACTGTACGTCCTGGATTTCTCCTGTTTTTAACCCTCAAAAATAGAATAAAATTTGAAAAAAGAACCATTTTATACGTCTTCTAATGCGATATAACCAATTTGTAAGTCAACATATAAATAATTTTTTAAAAAATAATCCTAAATTTAATCATTTTAAACCTTTCTTTTTCTACTTATTTTTCATTGTATTGTTTTATGGTTGATTTTAAAGCTCCCTTTGTAATCCTTTTGTGTAATCTAAGTATAATTTATGGATTATTTTAGTCAGTAATTGATTCCATTATCAATTTTTTTATAAATACATTTCGTATTTTATGAAGATAAGGTCAAATTCTCTTGGGGTGAAACAATCTCTCGGGTTTCAACAACCCCCTAAATACTTTAACTTGACCGGTATATAAGATAAATAAATAATCGAATTAATAAAAAACTTAATTCTATTAAATTTTAAAAAAAAGTTTAATCAACCTTTTTATTATCATTATTAGAATAACTACATCTAACCTATGAAATCTCTTATCAGTTTGATAATTAGCATTGAATTTATTATCTAACTAGATCATTTACATTTTTCAAATAATATTTTATAGGAATTCCTATATATAGCCTATATATTTGAGTTAGAAGCATTGAATTTATGACTTTTTAGAAAGTGTTAATCTGAATTGATAAATGAATAATTTGTAGGCTCAACGTATAAAAATCACCAAACACTGGTTGTTGAAGTCACGGGTTCGCACCTCAACAATGGGCTGGCCTCGTGCAATTTTCCAGGTTTTATTTACGTGTCTAAAGCACTCAAATGGGGGCCAGTTACCCATAGAAAGTCCTTCTATGAGTAACTGGCTCCCCGGAGGCACTTCCCCTTGGCAAATCGCCCACGTGTTGCGTTACCGCATCCCTTTAAATAAATCAATTTATATATATATATTTAATGAAAAATCAAAAATTAATTAATTTAGTAACATTTAATTCTATGTGTTTTAAAAGTATAAATTAAATCGGTATTTTGTAAATGAGTTAAGTGTAAAACCATTCGAATTTGTATCTACAATAAGTAATTCAATATCTTTCTAGATATAAACAATAAATCAGATATGAACCAATCAGAAAAGACTGACGTCACAAGTCGAGAAACAAAACGGAACATTTAAAGTGGAGTTAGACGTGAACCCAGTTTAAGAACGTCGAGGTGAGTTTACTCTTGAAATATTAATTAAAAATAATTAACCCGAAATTAATAATATTTAATAGATTTTAAATAGGATTAATAATAGATTAATTGGGCTAATAATTTCACCAAGGTCTCTCTTGAATGTTTATAATATATAATAAATAAAATCATATGGTCATTAGTCATTTTATATAATGGATATTATTATAATTTGCATCTTTACAGTTTACAATATACTGTATTAAAAAGAAGTACAGTACAGATGTAATTGCCAAACAAATCGATTGTTTAACGAATATCTCGTTTATATGGGTCCAGATTTTAACGTGGAGTAAGTTATACAAACTACACTTTAGGGCCTCGCATCATTATTTTATACAGGCTTGTTATATATTAATATTATAGCTTAGGGCCCATTGGTATAGTTCATTTTTGAGCCTGTAATATACTGTAGTCTTGAAATGGTAATTGGCGGCGGATATAATAAATAAAAGTGTCATTAAAAAAAAGCCCTGTCCGACCTTGGCATTTATACTGATACTTTACAGTAAATCACTTGTAGATCAATACTAAATTTTCATATACCTATAGCTGTGTTTATAAGAACATATCGGCCTTAAAATAGTGTTTATAAATGTTTAAACTATACCTGTATTGTCATATTATTATTATTATTATTTTATTCAATAAATATTGAGTATTTAATAGAATATTTTAACATCTATCGGTAATTTAAAGAGACATGTTATATGATAGACGGTAAGGATTTGCTTAACAGACAGAAAAGTTTTGTGTTTTTGGGCTTTTAAACTTAAATAATGAAATAATATAATGCTAGAAGTAGAACATATAATTATAATATTTCATTGGCAAATATGCTCTTTAATCTTAAATAAATGCTAATTTCCAATTATTTAGAAGAATTTCGTGAGAAAATATTCAAACTAATTGTCGTAATACGTTTATTTATTTATTTCAATTATATTTTTGAAGTTAAATGTTCAGAATATATTTATGATTGGATACATGCCTGGTTGGTAATGAACACGCTCAAGGTACAGTACATGTATCAATGCATGACTACAGGAAGATTTATGAGGGATGGCTAGACCTAACAATTGCCGTAGACTTTCACGTTTATATACATAAACTTTACCTAAAACATTTGTTATATCAAATATAATTTTCATAAATCATTCAGTGATATATAACTTATTTATTTTAATAGGATCAAATGTATCTATTGATCTACTGAAACTGTTTATTAAATAATCGTCTCTGATTTTTTTAGGTACAGTACTTAGGTGGGTATTATTTGTTTGGATAAGAAATTTGAGTTCGTCGATAAAAATATCTTATTAATAATCTATTTTATTTAATATTGAGTTAACAGCCGTTTAAGACAATTAATTAATCATCAAAATTATTAGCTTATTAAATAAATTAGAATTGATCATCGACGAAAAATTATGAACGAATTTCGGCATTTTTTGTGACTATTAAAAATGCAGTTTTTAAACTAGACATTGTATTAAAATTATTGATGGTAGTAGGTTTACGACTGGCAGGGGCTGGCACGTGGTTTTCTGGGTTTTTTCGCGTGTCTAACATCTAAATAAAGCCCCGTTTCCCATAGAAATGTCTTCCAGACAAATTGCTCGTGTGTTGCATTGCATTATTCCATCACTCCAATTGTTAACAGGTCAAAAAAATTACATATTTTAAGAAGATTCTCTTACGTCTTTAAAATNAGTTATTGCTCCCCACGTACAGTATATTGTCTAGCTGTATTGAATTTTCGTTGTTTTCCTATGTCGTAGATTACATTTTTTAAAAATTTACTTCCTAAAATTTGTAATAAATTTTTTAATGATCTAATTTTTGAAATTATTTTAATTTTACTGTATTAAATACATTAGAAAATATTTTCTAATTTGTGTTTTTACGCGTTTTTTCTTTTCTTTTTTTCTAGAAATATCGTACGTAATGCCCAAAAAAGACGGGAAAAAATTATTAAAAGATTACATAATCCCGAATTTAGACAATAAGCGATTTAACGATAAAATGATTTTGTTGTAAATCTTAAAAATTAATAAAATAATTTCTAGATTAAAATCAAGTAAAACTACTCTCTCTTATCCGACTTCGAGTGATTTATTTTAGCAGACAAACAAATAACGTAGATATACTAAACCTTAACTTCAATTGCCAATAACTTCATATTCATAAAATTCAGTGCGGATAAAGTTTAGCAATGCCGACCGATAAAACCAACCGGACATCCGGTACAACTACCCCTAATGAATGGGAGACAAGTCCCCCAGCCCAGGTGCCAAGCAGGTAGCGACCATTCACAAAAATAGCCAACAGCGCCCAGGCCCGAGGACCGGCGCTCAAACGATGAGCTTCACAATAAAGCCTCATCACTGAGCATAATGAACGTTAACCATTTCTATTCCTCTTATGCTGTGTGATTTTTTCCCAGCAAGCATCTACATTCATCCCGATATTCAGATTTATTACATTTGCATATGCTATGATACAAAAATGTTCTATTGTTTTTCTTTTAAAACAATTTGTAACTTTATATAATATTTTAACATTATTCCTAAGTTACAAATTGTTTAAAAGAAGAATAATAGAACATTTTTGTATGCCGTAAAGCGAATCACAGTCTTTTTTTCACTTTCCAGTGCATAAAAAAAGCCCACGAAAGCATTTACACCATTGTTTATGTGGTGCGCAATAGCGTTAGGTCTAAAAAAGGCGCGTGAAACAAAAGTAAAAATAATTAATAAATAAATAAAATCCCGAAAACTCTCTTAAGAGCTTGGCAAGCGACAAAAATAATACAAATAACTACGAATTTAATTGGAAAAGCGTCGTAAAGCGATGATTTAAGCCATTTTAAGATCCCAAAGAAGGCGTAATTATTTATATGAAAAATCATATTTTAAAGGAGAAGAATTTTGAATGTTCATGTATTCTGTTTCATCTATTCAATAACATATTCTTATGGCGTTAATTTGCGTAAAATTAAAAGAACTTACTATTAGCTGATGACAATTTCAATGACACGAGGAACGAGAGGTTTCGTAGTCTGTAACTCAAAGGTTTGCCAGAGAATAATCTGCCTTATTAATAAAGTTTCAGAGTTAACAAAGCACTAGAATGATGATGAATTTATTAGAAACAGCATCTACGAAGAGACACGTTATGAAATTCTTGTACAGAAACTTCGAACTTCGATACTGTCGATCTGAATGAACTGCAACGGAAATTCAGGATTTCAAGGCTACACTCTGAAAAAAAAAATCAACAGTTTTGGATCGTTTATCTTCTTTTTAATTTTGCATTAAGACTTTACTGCCATTCACAAATTATTTTATCAGTACAAGTTGACGTTTATGTTGTTATTATAAGTGCTATATTTATTTATTATATAAAGCTAATTTTTCATCGTCCGATTTCGCTGGTTACACTTAGCAAATGCGAATTAATTATCTGCATTTGGAATATTAACTAAATATTGAATATTTATTCTTATTTCTACAAATAATCAGACAAATATATTTGCAAAATCTTCAATAATTGCCAATTATTTAATTCATAGCCTAATTGATTTAATTATATGTTACGTTTACTTCTTATTTCTAAACAATATGTTGTAATATTGATTATTTAAATCTAGACGAACCATATGATCTAATAGCTTATAAATTTTATTACATTACTTTTTCTCTACAATAAATTTCATAGTAAAAAAAATAATAAATAACGTGTATATACTTACTCGTTAGAATTACCCCCGTTCATCTAAGGATTAATCTAGTCATTCGCAAAAAACACGAATCTAAATATATCAGTCTTGCGCAAAACAAGACCATATTGAGCTTATTTTATTTAAAAACTGGTCAACTAATACAGCAGCTTCTATTTAAATTTTCATTTTCGAAAAAATTATTTAAGCGGTTAAATAAAACATTTTTATAGATCTGTCTAAAACGGGCGTCGGTCTATACCCCAGTATTTCTGTAACTGTAAATTGTCCCTCTCCCAAGATACATACGTATTTTTATTTTATACCACACTACAAAAATTAGGAGTAGAAACGAGTACACAGGTGTACACAGTTTTTAAGTTATTGCTCCCCACGTACAGTATATTGTCTAGCTGTATTGAATTTTCGTTGTTTTCCTATGTCGTAGATTACATTTTTTAAAAATTTACTTCCTAAAATTTGTAATAAATTTTTTAATGATCTAATTTTTGAAATTATTTTAATTTTACTGTATTAAATACATTAGAAAATATTTTCTAATTTGTGTTTTTACGCGTTTTTTCTTTTCTTTTTTTCTAGAAATATCGTACGTAATGCCCAAAAAAGACGGGAAAAAATTATTAAAAGATTACATAATCCCGAATTTAGACAATAAGCGATTTAACGATAAAATGAGTTGGATAGATGAAGATGCGGGAATATTTGGATTGCAATGGATACATAAATCCAATTCTAGATATAGTCAAGCGGACGGTAAAGTTTATGAGGTATTTATAAAATTATAATTTTGACAAAAGAATTATCATTTGATTACTAATAACAGCTAGTAAAGTAGGTGAATTTTTTTAATCTTCAAATTTGTTAAAATTAAATATAGTCCATTCCGAAGTTGACGGACTAATTATGAGTATTTTTTGAATAGTTTTAAAGGGAATATTGTAATAAAAGTGGTTGTTGAAGATGACTGTGGAATATGTTCTCATTTAAAAGTTCTGTGATGAAAGGAAACTATAATTCTAAAATTTTCAAGAATATTGTTCAAAAACTTTTTTTTTCGTCTCAAAAAATCAGTAACTTTCAGATGTAATCAAATTCTCAACCATTTTGGAATCAGCCTTTTCATCTAAAAATTATATAGAAGTATTTAGTCCATAGACATTTCTTACGAGTGTATTCATTTTTAATCCTTTTCGCTCTATGGATATACTAAAACACTTTTAATACCTATCGTGGGTTCGGCCAAATCCATTATCGGCAGCCGGTTGGTGAGGGGTAAGTCCCGACATATCCGATGAAAAATACTTGAGGTTTTTCGACCATCAATTTCGATTCAATTCCGGGTCCACCAGTGTGGTAAGCCAGTATCTTACAGCTCTGCCAGTAGGCTGTCCATCTACATATATTGGTGTATGCTGTAATGTCTTGTTTAACTTTAAATCTTCCATTTTTGAACGAGTTCACTTTTATAAAATAAATGCAGTATAACTGTCTATTTGACATTATCGAAGACATTCACACAAGTACGAATGCTGTAATGTAAATATACAAGTGAATTATAACTTGTAATTTGGATGTTTTTAAGACAATAAATTAATCGATGATGTGAAAAAGTAAATGGTGTCTGAAAGAATCTTTTACATTTAATTAAAATAATTATGTAAAAAGTTATTAGTTTCAATTCTTTCCGTCTTGTGGACGTTAAGAGATCCTCTTTTTTACGCCCATCGTAGTACAGGTTTACAGTGGGAGCAGTCGGATGGAAAGGGACAGATCAGTGTAAGGGACAGATCAGTGTAGGGGACACAATATATTTTGGTCTAAGTTTTCTCTAATGTCAATTGATATTCCAAGCTGTTGGCTACTATATGGTATAGGACATTAAAAAGTCTAATTATGTTTTTATTTTGGGGAAAAAACTTGACGTGTTGAAGCTATTATCTCGCGCCAGTATTCCTGTGGCGCGAGATAATAGCTGACAGTACCTGGGCAACGTGGGACAGCTAGAAACCGGCCTAGATTTGGCAAAGAAAATAAAGAAATATAAGTAAATAAATTATATTTTATTAGAAATTGAAATATTATAGATTCGTCTATTTTTTTTAAAAGAGAAATGAACATCTTAAATATTAAATCATTACAACTTTTGGTTGTCATAATCAGTGTCTGCTCCTGACAATGGCAATCTAAAATTGTAGAGTATTATGAGAAAAACCGAGTGAATATACCATACAATGAACCACGAAATAATTTAGGACACTAAAGCTGTCTGCAGTTGCCCCAAAATAGCCACGTTTGATTCTAACTAGCTTTGGAAAGAGAGACGTTATCCTATCTACATTTCGATATATGGTAAATTACTAGCACAAGACACATTATCATGTGAAGTTTTTAGATATTTCAATAAATGATTGGATGATACTTGTGATACACACTTACTCAAAGAATAAAATCTTTCAGCACTTTTTACTGTTTCATGCACATGGACGAAAACGCGCGTATCCCGGGTTTTGAGAATATGGATGCTGCTCAAGGAAGATTCGGGNCCTATATTATACCTAAAAATTGAAATTTACCTTACTTAACAAAAAAAAATAAATGAATTTTTTAAATTAAACTTAACCAAACGGTACGTTATGTACATATTTAGAAAAAAACGACCCAAATTGTATACGGCCCATGTGGAATTTTCCACATGGCCAGTCCGCCTCTGTGATGTGAAAAAGTAAATGGTGTCTGAAAGAATCTTTTACATTTAATTAAAATAATTATGTAAAAAGTTATTAGTTTCAATTCTTTCCGTCTTGTGGACGTTAAGAGATCCTCTTTTTTACGCCCATCGTAGTACAGGTTTACAGTGGGAGCAGTCGGATGGAAAGGGACAGATCAGTGTAAGGGACAGATCAGTGTAGGGGACACAATATATTTTGGTCTAAGTTTTCTCTAATGTCAATTGATATTCCAAGCTGTTGGCTACTATATGGTATAGGACATTAAAAAGTCTAATTATGTTTTTATTTTGGGGAAAAAACTTGACGTGTTGAAGCTATTATCTCGCGCCAGTATTCCTGTGGCGCGAGATAATAGCTGACAGTACCTGGGCAACGTGGGACAGCTAGAAACCGGCCTAGATTTGGCAAAGAAAATAAAGAAATATAAGTAAATAAATTATATTTTATTAGAAATTGAAATATTATAGATTCGTCTATTTTTTTTAAAAGAGAAATGAACATCTTAAATATTAAATCATTACAACTTTTGGTTGTCATAATCAGTGTCTGCTCCTGACAATGGCAATCTAAAATTGTAGAGTATTATGAGAAAAACCGAGTGAATATACCATACAATGAACCACGAAATAATTTAGGACACTAAAGCTGTCTGCAGTTGCCCCAAAATAGCCACGTTTGATTCTAACTAGCTTTGGAAAGAGAGACGTTATCCTATCTACATTTCGATATATGGTAAATTACTAGCACAAGACACATTATCATGTGAAGTTTTTAGATATTTCAATAAATGATTGGATGATACTTGTGATACACACTTACTCAAAGAATAAAATCTTTCAGCACTTTTTACTGTTTCATGCACATGGACGAAAACGCGCGTATCCCGGGTTTTGAAAATATGGATGCTGCTCAAGGAAGATTCGGGGGACCAAGGCACGTGCTCCCTGTTATTTTCGGAAAATGTTACTCAAATTACCTTAGATTAGGTAACTTCAAATCTAATCTAATCGAAGTCATGTGACATGCGTTATGTTTACTTGTAAAGTAACAAAACTGATTATTTTGATATCAATGGGGGTGACTTTTTCCGGTGTCCAGGATTTCCCCCATTTCCCCTATTTCCCCTACTTTATTAATCAACCGCTCTCAAATTTCTAAACCAATCTGGACAAATCCCAGAACAGTTAATTTGATAACCGATCATCAAATAAATTTATTAATAGTATATTTTAGCAACAAGCAGAATTTGCATTTTTAATTTGCCGAAAATTTCAAATTACTTATTTTTGTGCATTTTATTAACATTTGTCTTAAGTTATATTTCATTTTAAATAATTTTCCTCTACTCTGTATGTAAAGNTAAGTTATATTTCATTTTAAATAATTTTCCTCTTAAATTTTTAATATTTTAATAATTATGTAATTGGAATTATTTAAAAATTTTGTAATAGTCCTGTAAACACTGAAATAATTGTTTAGGAGTAGAGACTTATTCGAAGCTAATCCGTGTTATAAATTATTGCTACATAATCACCCAACCTCGGCCGAATGAATAAAACCACTGAACACTGGGTACGTGGTAGTGGGGTCCGACGTAGGCTACGTGGAACTTTCCGGGTTTTCTTCCCCTTAGTAGCACTTAGCTAGGGTCCAATTTCTCATAGAATGTCCTCCCGAGAGGCGTATACGAATAAAATCAATACCACAAAATTCACGTACATGAACAAATATTATTTCATTCACCAGTACAGTGTGTATTTCTATTAATAGGACTTATTAAACTGGTATTTAAGATTACTGCAAATCAGTCACACAGATTAAAATTGTTTTATTTACATTTACCTGAACACATACATATTGCGTTTCGGACTTGTATGTCCCTCTTCGGCAAGTATTTATCTGATAAATTCTACATAAAAATTAAAACAATAAACACTTTTAATTTTCCGACAATATGTTTTAAAATATGCCGACAATAATATAAAATTCTTACAATTTCGATGTTCTTTCTTTCTATTCCAATTTCCACACAATAATTCAGTTTAAATACTATTAACAATAACTTTAACACATTCCTATATTAAACCATAAATTATTACTTTAAACAACAACATTTTACTTATTTTTACATTTAAAAAACTATTCTCAAACTTACACCTCCTCTTGTTGTTCCTCACTTACACTTCGTCTTGCCCTGTCTCTATCGTTCTGTTTATACGTCAAACTCCTTTTTCCTTCTACGAATCTTCTCCATGATTGATGTATTTCTCTTCCGGTATTATTATTTATTCTATTATTTTGTTTAATTATATTAATATGTTCGTATAGTTGCCTTTTATAATTATTTTTTTTTTCTTTTTTCCTCATTTTTACTGAATTTAATACTACTTCACATCTTGTTGAATTACAGTGTTCCGCTACTACTGAATTTGCATAATTTTCCCGGATTACTCGAATATGTTCACTTAATCTTATTTTTACTTTTTGTTTCACTAATATATGTTTTTTTTCCGGATTACAATTACAGTTAAAAGAATACACTACTCCTTTTTCTTCGGTTATATCATATTTTTCTTCATTTCTATTTCTTCGTTGTATTAACTTTTTCTGGTATTATATTTTGTTATCTAATGTATTTTTTTAACTCTTTCAAACAACTTTGGAATATACCTTATTTTAACAAAATTTTTTTCCTTATCTATTAATTTTTTTTATTATCATTTTCCATTTTTTTAACAAGTTTTTTGGATAATCATTTAAAATAAACATTTTGATTATATCATCATCTTTTTTCTGTATTTCTATCTCACTTGTTCTTTGTCTTATTTTACTTATATTTTATTTCATACTAATAGGTATGACTGATTTATAATTAATTGTTTTTGAAATTTGCATAGGTTTAATATATTTTTTATAAATTAATTTATCCTCTTTTCTCATAATTGTTATATCTATATAATTAATGTTTTGTTTTTATTTTCAAATTTAATATTTTCTTTTATCTTATTAGCTTTGTTAATAATTATGTTTTCATCTATCTTTCTTTTATCTAATATTATAATACAATCATCAATATACCTGCTATAAAATTCTATGCCTTCTATATTTCTAATTTGTTTATCTATTTGTATCATTGATATTTCAGCCAGTTTTGTACCTATGCAAGTACCCATAGGTATTCCATCCGTCTGGGTATAGAATATGTATGTGTTCAGGTAAATGTAAATAAAACAATTTTAATCTGTGTGACTGATTTGCAGTAATCTTAAATACCAGTTTAATAAGTCCTATTAATAGAAATACACACTGTACCGGTGAATGAATAATATTTGAATAAATTAAGGACATTGAGGCAATATTAATTTAATTTAATTTCACGTACATGAATTTAGTAACTAAAGATTTATTATCGTAAAAACTCAATCAATTTTTGTCTATTATTTTTTATGGTCACAAAACGCAAAAAAATGATTATTTTGCGTTTTGTGAAAATCTCTGGTCATATTTTAACACGCAAAAAATTTTTTACGTCACTTTTTTGTACGAATATGCTTATAATAGGAATAAATATTTACAGGAGTGGTCTCAATTAAAGAGATTGTGGAATCCCGAAGATCCAAAAGCAACTTCGAAAGCGAAACAACGATTTAGGGCGGCACTCAGGAAACAAAAAAATCTCGAAAAAATTGAACATCAGAAAAATTATAGAAAATATCAAATTAAAGATATTAAAGGTAAATAAAATTCGTATAATTCGTAAGAATTTTAAAAGACAAAAATTAAGTTGAAAGCTGAACAAAATCTTTGATTCTATTATGTGTTTTGTTTTTTTTTTAACTCTTTCCGCCTTATGGGCACTAAGAGGGACTCTTTTTGCAAGCCCATTATGGGTTCGGCCAGGCCCACAATGGGGCTATCGGGTGGTGAGGGACGGGGCCCGACATATTCGAACGGACCCCGAGGGATTCCTGGAGATTTTTCGACCCGTTCGGATTCGAGCTCGGTTCCCCCAGAGCGGTGGGCTGCCACCTTGACCGCTCGGCCATCCGGCCACTGATTCTATTATGTTTATTCGATATATATATTTTTATGTAGTGTCAGCCATAAACTTACTTTTGCAAGGCACTCTTCGTCCTGAAGCCATTATGACACTCCCTTTAATTATTTTGTGAGCCGTCTTGGCTACGTAGGCACGTAATAGGCCGGCCAGATGATAAGGAACAGAATCCCACACACTCGGGTCACACCACTCGTGAAAATTCGAAGAGATCCTATGAGTATTTGAACTGGGATCCTCAGAGTAGCAGACTTATACTTTTTGTTTTTTACTCTTTTCGCCTTATAATTGTGATATTGAAAATTTATTTTAAAAAAGTTTTGGCTCAAGACCATATAATGAAAAAGAAAACATTATTAAAAGAGAAAGACCAATGCCTAAATTATATATAAATACGTCAATAAAAAAATTTGTTCGACATTTTCACCATAAAATGGCTTTGTGTATGCATAAAAATGCAACAATTATTTTGTTGGCCTTGCCTACTATTTTCAAATAAAATTAGTTTGTGGAATATAAGAATGGCTTTGACAATTTAAATAATTTGAGTAAAGCTGGCAAAAGACACGAAAATCATAAATCTCGCATCGATTCTTTCGTAAAATTGAAGCAATTTGGAAATCAAAATAGAATAGAATTTAATGTTAGTACACAATATAAAATAAATATTGAAAATTATAACAAAGTTACGGCTAATAGATATAATATATCTAAATTAGTAGATGTTATCGAAGCAAGAATTGGCATTTAGAGGGCGTAGGAATCTATTAAATCTAATATAACAGAGGTAATTATATTGAACTTGCTTATTTATTAAGTGCGTTAGATAATCTATTAATTAAAAATACATTTAGAGAAGTCTACAATTTTTACTGGCTTATCGAACAAACGAATATAAATGGACCATTGACTATCACTGACGCGCAAGTAACTGATTGCCCCTGGAAGTCGGCTTCTTACAGAAACACAGCTTCCCTATCATCAAATGTCACTGCATTTTGAATAAACATTAATGAAATGCTCTTTTCTCGGTAATTTATTTTAGTAAATTATCTAAGAATAAATCGGCTAAATTCAGAAAACGAAATTTTTAATACATTTTTTAGCCACAAGCCAAACAGATAATCACAAATCCGTATAAGAATCAAACGAATTCTATTTTAAAATGGTTTACATTCGTATTCAGATATGTTATAAATACAAATAAAATATTTAAATAACAGCGTAATATTGATTAAATATATATATTATATTCAATTAATTACTGCAACAATGATATAGCGCGAAATACACGCGCTATATAATTACGGTGCATATAGCACTTGCCTGCGTGCAATGGAAAGTGTTACACTGTGAAAAATCTACAAGTATTTAAGTTTCCGCATCTAACGACTCGGGTTTTTTCCTTTCTGATTGCCACTTTCTTAATTCTAATAAGCGCTCTCCAGTAGCCGAGTGCATAAAACCATCGAACTCTGATAGTTAGTCGTGGGTTCCGGCGTGGTCAACGGGCTGGCCACGTCCAGTTTTCCGGGTTTTCTTCCCCTAAATAGGGTCCAGCTTCCCATAAAAGTTTTCCTGGGATGCATTCTCCTCTGCAGATCTCTCGCATATAGCGTTGCCGTAACCAAATAAACCAAACTAATACTAACAAGCGATTATTTATTATGACCGTCAAAATGCCGGACTGCAACTTTTGTTACGGTGTTCTCAATTCTTTAAGTGGTGTCTTGCCCCTGCCATCATACTTTTCCTGTTAGCAATAGAATCCTGTCGGTTATCTATCTAACTCCGTTCTCCAGATTGAAAAAGGACAGAGACGGATAGACAATTGAAATTTATAGGTCTACTTTTTTCAAATCGAATAGGAAAATTAAAGAATTTAAAGAATTTTTAAAATGTGTTAGATTGGTCACTCAGTGAGATGAACCCTTACGTGAGATATCCTTTGTAGTTATATAAATCAAATACTACAATATGATATAATAGAAGGGTCAGAAGTACGGAATAATCTAATAATATTAATGTTTGTTCTTATCCCGGGCATACCTGCTAGTTATATAATATAATAAATTAGTAAAATAATTATAAAAATATCTCAAATAGATAAATTATATCTCAAAGTTTAATTGCTTCATTGTGAAGTTATAATTTATTTATATTTAACATTGTTGGAATAAAGTTCACAACTACTTTATTTACGAAAAGAAATTTTTTTAAATAAGACGAACGCTTTCTTGTTTACCATAAAAATAGAGTAAAGGAATCAACCATCAGTTCTTTATCCCAAAGTCGAAATTATTGATAATTAGATGATTCTATCATTCTTACGAAACAGTTTAAACATAGCATCCGTGCCTTTCAATGAAAATATTTTTAGCAGTGGCGTGCCGCCACTGCAGGACATGAATGTTCCTTACAGAGTCGCCATATTTGTTCCTAAGTTCTCTGGCCACGCCATAGTTTCGTGCTCTGTACTGTACAGTACTGTACATAACAGAGGAAAAGTAATACTATGTAAATACAAGATTAAATAGCCTAAGTTTAAACTATTATGTAAATTCATATTGTTAAATAATGAAAACTGTTTCTTTTCCAGTCTAAAGCTAGGCTTTCAGTCCGAAAAATGCATGATTTGTAATCAAAATAAATAAGTATAAAGTTGTCTTCCGATTAAAACATGACCTGTTTAAATCGGTATAAACATGGCTCCGATTGCACGAGTAGCCTATATCATAAAAGAATTTTTTAAAAGTTTTTTTCAAAAATTTTGCTAAAATGATATTTTAGGAATACGATAATTTTAAATCGCGTTTAAATTTGAATTTAAAAATTCGATTGCCGTAGAACGGAATCTTTTTTTTAAATATCGTTCGAAACATCGAATTCCGTCATTCTGCTTCTGCTCCGAAGAAAAAACACATCGCCATGGACGATCGTCGTGAAAGAAAAGTCCCCGAGTTGAAGAAAATGACTCCTTCCGATGAAGAAATGCGTCGGAGATTTAAGGACATCTTCGGCGACGCCAGCAGAAAGATAGAAAAAGCCATTCTAAGAAAACGTAGAGAAAACAGGATAACTCGAATACGGGAAACATCAAAGAAAAGATCGAAAGCCGGAAGAAGATCGAAATTAAAAAGAACGAGGAGGAGTAAGAAAAGAGGCAGGAAGGGAAGTGAAAGATCTCGTAGAAGGACTAGTGGCAGCACAAAGTAAGCAGGGCGTCGACAGTACGGCAATCTTCAACGAGAAGCGGAAACACAATTGCTAGATTCCTGTAGTCTAGCAAACAAACGGCTCTTTTCGGAGCCATTTTTTATTGGCGAAGAGTAGCCAAATCGATTCTAATAAACAAGGCTTAATGTCGTAGATTCGGTTTGATTTTAAATTTTGAAGCGTTTCGAACGTCGTTTAGAGTGAAATTTGACTTTTCGATTATTTAATAATTTAATTTTTATAGAAATTTCAAATAAATTTTTTACTAATTGTCTCTTGGATATATTTAAGATGTTTTTGTGTTTATATAAACACAAAAAACTCTAAACGACGTTCGAAACGCTTCAAAATTTAAAATCAAACCGAATCTACGACATTAAGCCTTGTTTATTAGAATCGATTTGGCTACTCTTCGCCAATAAAAAATGGCTCCGAAAAGAGCCGTTTGTTTGCTAGACTACAGGAATCTAGCAATTGTGTTTCCGCTTCTCGTTGAAGATTGCCGTACTGTCGACGCCCTGCTTACTTTGTGCTGCCACTAGTCCTTCTACGAGATCTTTCACTTCCCTTCCTGCCTCTTTTCTTACTCCTCCTCGTTCTTTTTAATTTCGATCTTCTTCCGGCTTTCGATCTTTTCTTTGATGTTTCCCGTATTCGAGTTATCCTGTTTTCTCTACGTTTTCTTAGAATGGCTTTTTCTATCTTTCTGCTAGCGTCGCCGAAGATGTCCTTAAATCTCCGACGCATTTCTTCATCGGAAGGAGTCATTTTCTTCAACTCGGGGACTTTTCTTTCACGACGATCGTCCATGGCGATGTGTTTTTTCTTCGGAGCAGAAGCAGAATGACGGAATTCGATGTTTCGAACGATATTTAAAAAAAAGATTCCGTTCTACGGCAATCGAATTTTTAAATTCAAATTTAAACGCGATTTAAAATTATCGTATTCCTAAAATATCATTTTAGCAAAATTTTTGAAAAAACTTTTAAAAAATTCTTTTATGATATAGGCTACTCGTGCAATCGGAGCCATGTTTATACCGATTTAAACAGGTCATGTTTTAATCGGAAGACAACTTTATACTTATTTATTTTGATTACAAATCATTCATTTTTCGGACCGAAAGCCTAGCTTTAGACTGGAAAAGAAACAGTTTTCATTATTTAACAATATGAATTTACATAATAGTTTAAACTTAGGCTATTTAATCTTGTACTTACATAGTATTACTTTCCCTCTGTTACTATTTACAAGTTAGTTCTTTTTTTTCGTGTATATAGGTTTCGTGGAAGCCCGCTTCCCTTGTATTTTCTAAAATATAAATACACATTGCGCGATTATTTTGACATTTTAATATACTTTGAATTAATTAAAATTAATATTTTATTATAAGATATTTATTATAAACCGCATTACGTATCTTATTACAAATTTCTATACTACATGTGAAAAAAACGATAAGATTGTTATTGTATATTCGAATATCAGTAGCGGAGTGGAAGCGCTGTATTGTCGAATACGGGATAGCTTCCAAGCAGCCAGATCATAAGCATTTGCGCATACGCTTTACAGAGCACCAACCTCACCCGGTATAGCTGGTGGATGCTACACATCAAATACTATATCGTATAACGCTTCCAATGATTCTATTCAGGACCGGTTCTTGGCTATTAGCCGCCTGTCCGCTAGATGTTTGGCCGCCCTCGCCCCATTATATAAATCGCGAGTAGATTTATAACTTAACCCAACCGATAGGCGTTTACTGGTATGTTTTTATGATAGTTCTGTATAGTTGACAGGAGTCTAAAAAACCCATTAAAATATTTGATATAATTATTCTGCTTTAATTCTGCTCTCCCATTTTGTATTACAGATTTCAATGTTAAACTAGTGATATTACGATTTCGTATGTCCCATCTATAAAGGGATGCAGGAAAAAAGTATACAATTATTGTACAATGTCTTTTTACAATTCGTTACGGTGAGCGGATGAAAATGAAAACTTCCTCATAATTTTAATTACAGGTTATGAGATGATGTATGGATATGACAAAGATAAAACCTCGATAGGTCAGAAAAGGTCGCAATTAACCGAAAAAATGTTAATGTGAAAAAGTTTTTTTACCGGAAAGGAAAACCTTCCTCATTGTATGATGATTCATTATCAGACTGGATGCCGACATTATACATGGGGTATGAAAGTAGCTACAACCCAACTGCATATCAGAAGCGTTGTGAAAGAACACATGAAAGAACACGTATTCGGGAGAAATCCATCCACTTGTAAGAGAGTTATGGGCCTCTAAAGATTTGTAAGCTTTCATTTGTGAGAGTAGTAATTTGTCGTCAAAACCAAATAGTCTACGACAGGGGTGGCCAACCTTTTGCATACTATGCGCCAATGTTTTGATAGACGAATTCAGATGCGCAGTGGTCGATATTAGTGGTGTACACGATCAGGAATGTATCGTATATCGTAGAAGCAAAAAAAAGGTCAACAGGTGTCGCAGGAAGTTGGTAGTAATCCAACCGATTCCCGGACTATCCGGACGATAGCACTATCGTGGGATGTTAGCACTATCATTTAGACGCCTATATACTGGTCGAAAATAAACATACATGCATACACTGTAATTTACTATGTGAAGAACACTCATTTCATCTGTAAAGTTGATTGCAACGAATTGTGCAACAAATGAACTTGCCAAGACAGACTATAAAAATTAATTTTCTATGTAATATTCTTAATTGCAAAGAAGCCAAATATGGCAATGTTGCTCAGAACTGACTGATGCGCCACTTGTAATCGTCCAATGCGCCAAGTTTGGCGCATGCGCCACATTTGGTCTACGATGTCACCCTGGTCTACGATGTCACCAAATTATACTTTAAGCCATAACTCTTGATCTATAACGAAGATGCTGGCTTCGTATGGATCGAACCCTGACACAATGAAACTTCTTCATATAAAACAGCATCTCGTCCTGTCAGACTGCGGAACTAGCTTGCCAGAAAAGCATATTTTTTAAATTTTGTCTGTAATGTAAAAATACTGCAGTTCTATTAAGTTTAAATAGAAAACGAGAGCTGCAAACTTGTCAAATAACAAACCACGTGCGAGCTAAGTACGCGGAAGCTAAATCATAAACATGGAGAAAGGGCGGAGCCAAGTGCGTTTTATCATGTGACATGCGGCCTTGAAACCTCTCTATTACATAATGCACAGGAGAGATTATAACAGATGTAAGACAGGAAATTTAGGTATTCCTGCTGCTTCCTTAACTTTTTTTATGTAAATTAAATAATATTTTTTCAAGTTTTTCCATCTCTTGAAATTTTTTCGTTAAATATTGTTTTTGTGAGGTTGCAGACAGGGAGAAGTTGGTTCGATGTCAGGATGGGGAGAGAGGTGAAGTGAGCGTATGGGAGTGACAGATGATACTGAGGCGAAGCACCTTTGCAAAATCACACACGTTTATTGGGAAAACTGCAGGCTTATAACATTTACTCCTCGAGATCTAGAGTCCAAAGGTGTTATCGTAGCAATGTCGTGGACAAGTCCCGAGGTAAAATGGTCGGTCGGAGGATGAATGACGTTGAAGGCGGCAAAGCGAAGACAGTGACAAAACGAGCAGTCACCTCGCAAAGTTGGGAGAGGAAAATCCGTCTTTGTCCTTGAAATTCGGCGGTTTAATTATTTTATTCCCGAATTTCGTCTTCCGATTGGTCCCCACTCTTTCGATTGATTACTTTCTTGTCTCCAAGTGAAATCGGACCAGATCGGGTCGCGAGAAAGGTCGATCTTCGTTATTCACCTGACACCGCACCTCTCCTCCGTCCCAGAGATGTTGATCGAACTTTGAAACTCTCTCTCGTATTTTAGACAGTGATGTTTTCCTCCCGTCATCGTGGAATTTTAACGATCATAATGCGACGCTTCTTCCTCATTAATTAAAACGTCCATTTTCCCAAATTTTGTCCGTTCTACGAGCGCCAGAGTCAAGGTTCAAATTCTCTGGGTGTGCTCGAGTCTCACTCGGAATTTATATCAAGTAAATTATTAATAACAATTACGTAAAAAAATCATTATTATTATTTGAAAATTATCTAAATTCTCAAAAAGTACAATAAGTATCTAGTTTTTTCATCGATTCTCAATTGACCTCTCGGTTCAATAAACCTCTTTCATTCACCTCCTTCCATTGACAAATTACTTTATATGTATGTGAAATATTAAACATAGTTCTTAATATAATTGTATTTGATTATTATTTAGTTTACATATCTAATTGGAATGTGTTTAATATTTTAATCATTATATGTTGACACTTTAATGTATTTTTTTTTTAAATACAGAAATAAGACAGCAATTGGAGAGAGAGAGAATGAATTGTACGTACAGTTATGAGAATGATGTTCAGAAATACAAGAATTACTTTCAAGTTAATTACGAAGTATATTCAGAAAATGGATTAGGTTCAATGAAGAGTGATTATTCAGATGAAAGTACAATATATTATGATGAAAACGCTAAAAATTTTCAGTTACCAACTGACAATTACAACTGTTTTAGTGAATTATATTTAGATACAAAGAATGATATCTTACTTTACGTAAGTGTTTTTTTGGAATTTATTTTAATAATGTATTTTAAGATGCACTGATGGATTAAAGAAATATGGTATTTTTATTAATATCAATATTGATCTAAGATGCATTTTTGCTTGGCTGAAGAGGCATATCTTACAATTGATGTTTCTAGCTGCAAATGTAAGGCACCATCAATCAGCAATCATCACAAATAAATCATGTGGTGCATTTTGGGCCAAATTGTTAATAATCAAATCAGTTCAAATGCGCTTTGGTAACAATAATGTTATACTATAAATTAAGTGTTCAAAATGTTGAATTACGTATATACAGAGTCCGTACAGGTAATTCCATCTGTGATTCCCTCACTTAATGTCTCTGCATTTGCCCTTTCCATTACGTAATATTCAGCCAAGTTTATTTAAGCCCATTTTAATAAAAAAAATTATATAATTATGTACAAAAACACTTTTATTCACTTACAAAAAACGAAAAACTTCGCATAAAATTGACTACATAATTAGCTACGTCATCTACCCAAACGCCATTTTCGTTTGGGTAGATAGTTACCACGCGCAACCTCTATCCTCCCCCGAACTGCTGCACACCGCAACTACCCACCATTTTAAATACGGACGTAAACCTATCTAACAAAATTTAAATCGTTAGATTATCATTTATAGTTTGAGATATAAGCGCGACAAATATTGCCATTTGTTTGGTCGCTCCAGTTTTCCTAAACCTCCCTATACCGAACCGAATTTAAAGACTCGTTCGGATCAAAAGGGAGTGAGATCGATAGACGGATTCCCTGACTTTCTGCTAAAAAATCTTATTCCCGGACTTTCCAGGTTTGTAAGGACCCTGTATATATGAAGTGTATGGAAATAGAACTGCCCAATATCCCATAAAATAAATTCTAAGTTAACGAAACTTAAGATAATTGTATTGTTTTCCTAATTATCATGAATTTGAAATCAAATTATTTATTGAATTTAATATTTTTTTTAATATAAAAATTATAAAAAGGTATAAATTTTAATTTTAAATTCAATAAATAATGTAATGTGTTTTAATTTATTTACTTGTATTTACATGAGAAATACCTTTTAAATTTTTTTAAGAAAAAAATGATTTCATTTATTTCATGTTGAATTCAGCAAATATCTCTTAAATTTTATCTATATCTAGTTTTATATGGTAAAATTTTCCCAAAGTTTGACTTATTTTAAATAAAAATCTTATTTATGTAACAATTTAACAAATTAAATATTAAAATTAGAACAAAAGAAAAAAAAATTGAAATATTGACAATTGTTACTCAATATTTCACCTAATTAAAACAAATTAGTTTTAATAAAAAAAATTTTGGTTCAAGTGTAATTTAATTTGAGACTTTTTGTTTGAAAGAAAGTCTTTTATGATGTAAATAAGACTATACATATGTTAAAACTTATATAGTTTAAAATAATAAAACTTGTCACCTCTATAAGCCCTGTTTCAAATCCATTTGATAAGAGGAAAATATTTTCTTGTTCATATCTAATGATAGAAACAATTAAATTGTCAAAGTATACTGTATTGCTAGAAGTATCCAGACATCCACATGTACTATTGTTAATTCCAGTCAGATTTCCCTTTGACTGTACAACAGTCATTATCAGAGGATACTTTCCACTTGGTGTTGGGTACACTACTACTAGAATTTTCTTCCATTCCTCCTGTAGCATGGTGAACAACACTTCAAGCAGTAGTTGGTCAGATAGATCTGGGCTTTGGGCTGGCTAAGCTCTTCCATCTGCATATCCTCAAACCACAGCACTAAAAGACCTTGTTTTATGAGCAGGTGCATTATCATGCTGATACAGAAAAGGGCCTTTTCCAAACTGTTGCCACAATGTGGAAAACAGTTATCCAAAAAGGTTTGATAGGCATCAGCATTTAAAGATTCAGAAACAAGAATCAATGGGACCATACCAGGGGCCCATTGATTCTTGTTCATCAGGGACATACAAAATGGCCCTGATCACAGTGCTGCTACCTCCCCATTTCAGCCTGAAAACAACACATTCTGGCAGGTACTGTTTGCCAGGCATCTACCATGTTCAGACTTATCCATCAGTGTTGTCAGATCATGTGACAGAATTTATCACTCCATGACCCTCTTCCATTACTCACCTGTTTCTACCAGTCCTAACAACAGCAGACATTTGCAACTGTAATCTGTGCTTATGAGCCAACATATGACAGTGAAAGCCAAGTGAAAACAATTCTTGGCAGTGTCCTATCACTAGCACTAGTTCCTGAACTTGTACAAAATTTGTCTGTGGTGGTTTGGAGGGATGACAATTTTTCTTTGCAGTATATTTGAGAGTTTGCCAGTCCTAATCACTTTTTTTGGGCCTGCCAGGTCACTGAATGGGTTTAGTGATACCATCTGTTTCCATCTTACAATTACATCATTGACAGTGGCTTTGGGCACATTCAATTTGGCTGAAATCTGTTGGACTGAATGTCCAGACTGATAGGTTCCAATTATTATGCCACATTCAAAAATCACTTAAATTTTTTCTTTCACTCATGCTGATGTAAAGGAATTTCTACACTGCTATTTCAATCATGCCTTCATTTATATTGTGTTGAAGACAGATATTTTCATACTACTGCAAGGTATGGGGTGTCTGGACACTTGGCAATATAGTATAGGTATAGTCCTACAATCCATTGATTTATAATACCTTCTATTTTCAATGAGTTTTTAATGCTCAGAATATATCTGGCTAATGATTTGTCATCTTGTCAATATTCTTTGAGCATAAAGCAAAAATATAAGCAAAATCTTTGAGCAAAAATATATCACATATTTTAATATTACTGTTAGAACTATGAAATAATTCTATGTATTTGAAATTTCCATGCTTTTGTCTTTTCATTGTAGTTATATTTAGAATTTTCAGTCAGTTTTCTAATATACTTGTAATAATGAATATTTGATTTAAAAAATTTTTTAGTAACACAGTACTCAACATAAATATAGACCTTTGCAAAATGCACATTTACATTCAGATTACGCATATTAAACTGCTGATAACTAATTGCAATAACTTGTGTTATGTAAGTTATTGGCAATTAGTTATCAGCAGTTTAATATGCCTAATCTGAATGTAATGTGCATTTTGCAAAGGTATCTAATATTTCAAGCACTGTAATCTTATAATTTTATACTTATTACATTCCCTAGATGTCTCAATGAAGACTAATCCTTTGATATCTATTTTGTTGCACTTCAGAAAATATGTAAATTTTTTTGTTTTTACAAAATTACTTTCATGATTGTAGATGAGAAACTGAAATAATGAAACTAGAATGAATTCTGGATTGATAATTTATTATCCATGTCATTATAAGCAAAAAACTTATAAAAATCTGCATTGGTATTGATGTTAATTTTCCTGTATTAGCCAGTCTGCATCTTTACTTCAAAGTATGTGCAGATCTATTATGTAGAATAATAATTTAAGTATACATATATATGAAGTCACTTTAATCCAAAAACTTTTTGGTGACAATCTCACAGCACTTCTGGTTAGAAAATTAAGACTTTATTGCACATTGAATGGGTGTTATACAAATGCACTTTGGGTTGTTGTAAATTTACGAGTTTTAACACTAACATTGTACTTTGTGAAAAATCATTGTGTGATAAGTATATATATAATATATATATACATACAGAATATTAATTTACTTTAACTAGAAGAATTGATGTATTGTTAGCTTTATTGTAAAAACAAAACAAAAAAACAGCAGAATACATAATACTAGATAAATTTAAAAAAACATTTTATGTGTATTTATGTAAAACAGGATGTGAAAGTGGAAAACTTCAAGTTATTTCTCTATGAAATGTCACTGAGGGGGGGTGTAAATTTACAGCAACCTGAAATGCATTTGTGTAACACCCATTCAATTTGTGCAATAAAGTCTTAATTTTCTAACCAGAAATGCTGTGAGATTGTCAACCAAAAAATTTTTGGATTAAAGTGACTTCATACACTGCTGGCCACTCAAAATGCAACACCCTGAAGGAAGCATTCAAATCAAGTAAAATTTGCACCATACGTTTGCGGCGATGAAATATGCAAATGATTAGCATTTTAGTGCAGATGCACATCATGGGCATCTGTTGTGCCACCTGCAAGTGCTATATAAAAGGGAGAATAGAAGGCCGTTTTGAAGTACTGGAATTGTTCTTTTGTGCATTTTTTTGGCATAAGCAGCTTCAGTATGCCACACAGAAGAAAACAAGCATCTTTCGAGCACATTTCTGAGTTCCACCGAGGAAGAATAGTTGCCTATAGGGATTATGGATTATCCTTCAGAGATATCGGTGATCCTGTTGGACATGACCAAGCAACTGTGATGTGGATCTGTAACCACTGGATGCAGGAGGGAATGACAGACTGATAGGACCGATTGCACCCACTTCGTTGCACCACTGCACGTGATGACAGGCATAGCGCACGCATGGCAATGATGGATTGTTGTGCCACATCATGAACCATATCACAACAAATTTGATCTGTTGCGCAACAATCGGTGTCTGTGCGTACCATTTGACGTCGTTTGCAGCAGAGTGGAATGTCCACAAGGCTTCCATTGAGGCATTGACTATTGAGTCAAAACCACAGGCATTTGCGCCGACAATGGTGCGATGAACGATGGACATGGACAACCGAATGGAATGACATTGTTTTTACTGATGAATTCCGCTTCTGCCTGCAACACCACGATAGTCGGATTACAGTCTGGAGACACCATGGTGAGAGACTGCTGAACTGTTGCCTTATGCATTGCCATACTGGTCCTAGACCCGGTATTATGATTTGGGGAGGTATTGGATTCCACTCCCATGCCCCCCTAGTATGCATTGCTAGTACACTGACCAGCCAGCACTATATCTCTGAGGTGTTGGAGCCTGTTGTCCTCCCATGCCTTCAGAGCTTGCCAACGGCCACATTCCAACAGGATAATGCACAACCACATGTGGCAAGCATTGCTCAAGACTTCTTCTTCGCCCATCAGATTGCATTGCTGCCTTGGCCTCCTTGTTCTCCCGATCTCTCGCCTATAGAAAACGTCTGGTTGATGATTGAAGAATGACTGGCCCGGGATACACCACCCACTGCTACACCAGATCAACTTTGGCAATATGTGGAAGCAGCATGAAACGCTATACCCCAACAACATATCCAAAGCCTCTTTGACTCAATGCTGAGGCGTGTAGCAGCAGTTATAGCCAGCAATGGCGGCAACACTCCATACTGATTCCATCATTTTCCTCACTTCACAAAAGACTATTTTCAATCATTTGATATTTGTACAACGTGTTATCTCCCAAATAAATTTGGCTGTGCTATCTCTGGTCCTTTTTGGTGTTGCATTTTGGATGGCCAGCAGTGTATATATATATATGTATGTATGTATACAATATACAGCATCCATATAACGTTAAAAATAATTTAACTTGTAAAAAATCTTTTTAGTAATTCACTTGTGCATTCAATAATTAATTTGTAATGGTCTTTTTCTAGAATCAGGAAGAACTTTTTGAAGAAATTGAAGATCAAGATCAATTTGCAATACATTAAACTAAGGAAAATCCCGTATTTTGTTTTTAAACTTGATGGTGTGTCAAAATAAACATTTATGTTTAAAAACAAATATATTTTTTAAGTTTAAAAATGAATCAATTACATATTCTGTTCAATTTTATATTCATGAAATTCATCAAACAAGAATAAACTGGTTCCATGAAAACTTTTTAAGATGTCATTTGTTATTACATTTATTGAAATCAAACATAGTAATATATTTAAAAAACAAGTTAAAAATCTTTTAATCTTTTTGGTCAAATTTGTCACAATTTTTAAAATTTTAAACAGCAAGAAATATTAGCTAAGCACAACAGCTTATAAATGCATTCACTACATTCTGATTCCAGGAATCTGTAAATCCAAGTGTTTTAATTGTATAAAATTTTTTAAATGTGACAAAGATATGATATCAAAATTTTATTTTATCAGATTTTTATTAATTTGCAAACAATGCACTTATTAAACTACAAACAACAGGACTTTTAGAAAAGACAGGATTAAAGACAAAAAGTGGTGATGAGTAAAATTGTTGATGTACTAACAAAACATTTCATATATAAAGGCAAATTGGTCATGATGACAAAGAAACCAAGATTTTTTTCATTTTTGAGTACAAATGTGGCAGGAGTCAATGTGAAGATGGGTTTGGGCATTACGGCAGCCTGTTCTACAAAAGATGGCTACACTAGGCACTTCACTTCTGATAGTTGTTTATTTTTAGGAACTCCATACTACCTGTTTTTAATGTAAATGTACTATTTCAAAAACTGGTACTGCATTTGATAAGTGATTATTAATATGTTACTTCCAAAGAACATGTCTGACGTGCCCAAACCCTTAAAAATCATTACAAAATTGTAGGAAGGGATTTATGTTACTTAATTTTATAATTGAAAGAACAAGTGGAAAGTTACAAATTCACACTAGATAGTACATACAGTAACAAATGGGGCATGTTTCAGAGGATACCAACAATACAATAAACTCTGAATGACTTCGGTTTTAAGGAACAGTTATAAAATGCATGCCCGTGAATTGGTAGTGCCGAGATTTTTCTACTCCTGCAAGATTGTTTATATAACTTAATAATGCACCGACAATTAAGAAGCACCTGTGATTATGTCAGTGATGGCAGTCTGTGAGCTTTCAGCTTTTGCAAATGATGGCAAAAGTTAAAACTTGACTATCACATCTCCTAATTTTCTTCAATATGAATATGAAATATTTAAATACAAGGATGGGAAAAGAAAATATAGTTAAAGAAATACAGAATGTCTAACTGAAAATTTATATAACACCACAGAATCCCTTTTTTGTCGAGCTAAATTTTGAATTTAAAGCTGCCCATAATATTCTGATTGTGCCTGTTGAGGCATGTGCATTCTCTCTTGGCACAATACAGGAGGACTGGTGGAAAAGCACCAAATGGTATGTTTATAATACATCTATCCCATACTGTTTGATATGGAAAGTGCCTGGAATGTATTGGAATAAGTATATTTCTCGACTCATTCTGACTTCATATGTGATATTCCCTGAATTATATGATACTGCTTTGGCTAATAAATTTAATATAGCAACAAATATAACTCATGGATGTAAATTTTAACAAATTTCTTCCACACAACATACGTATTTTACATAAGAGTTTTGGCAAATCTTTCCCCACTAGATCATTGAGCACGTGATGGCAGAGTCATTTTGGGACATTGCCATAATACAACTTACTAAAGATACTGTAATAAATCAATTTAAGAATATTTAACAAGCAATTAATATGACAAATTATTTCTGAGCTAATTTCATTTTATATTGATGCTAAATAAAATAAAATCTAAATACTCAAAATTTGGTAAATCTAAAAAAAGCTGATTTTTGTAATAGTAATTTAAAAAAGTGAGGTAAAATGGCCTTTTTGATCACACAATAAAATAAATTATAAGTGGGTTGAACATAAAAAATGGCAAAAACATATAAATCAGTATAAAAAAAATAAGAAATAAAAAATTTCATACAATATATCTTCTGTAGTCAAATTTCACACCAATAATAGATGTGGAAATATATTTCTAAATTACTCAATTATTGAGATCATCACAGCTTTAAGTGCTGCAATATCAAACACCACTGGATGTCCAACAGAGGAAATTAATTCCCTGGCAAAATGCAAAATGACTTGATTTCAAATACACAATCTTTAATCTTCTTCACTTTCACCTTGTCCATACATGTCAGCAAGTTTTTGGAATCGTGGTCCCCATCCATTTAAGTAATCAAAGTCTTGATCATTATCATCAGTACCTGAGGCAAGGGAACTCAGAGAACCAGCTGTGCTCCCACCTCCTTCATATGCATAGTTACGAAGATCATCAAATGGAGGAGCATTGGGATCATGGTCAGCTTTTTCCAAATGATCTTGAATAAAATCTCCTACATCTGGATGATTACCAGGTGGTGCTAAAAATATGAAAAGAAACAGTTTTCAAATTTTTAATTATAAATAATTAAAATTTAACAAATCAAAAAACTTACCCTGCCACTGTCTTGGTTCTTTTGCAGGAGGCTTTTCAGGCCCAGATTTAACTCCTATTGGAATGCCACTAGCATCTATAGGAATGCGTAATGGAGTTATATCATATGCATTCATGTCATCTTCACCTCCACCTTCATCATCATAGCTAATAATATTCTCCCTAACATCATCATCAACATCTCCGTGTCCATATTTATGCTCTGGACGTCTACTTCTTGTATATGCAACAATTACTAGCACCAAAACTGAAATAAAAGAATAATTGTGTAAATTTCTGTATTTACAAATAGTTTTCATAAAGATCTTTGTTATTAATAGTGCATTAACATAATTAAAATAACTGTACAAAGTCCAGCAGCATGAAAAAAAATTCATTTTTTATGATACTGCTTTATTTCAAAGATTGAAAGAATTTGTAAATTCATATATGAGGCCAAATACAGGTATACCTCGCCTTACGTCGGTAATTGGTTCCAGGAGAGGCGACGTAAGTTGAAAAACAACGTAAGTTGAATTTACTTGTCTCCAAATCTACTTGTTACTAGGTTAAACCATAAATTACCATTCCTGGTTCTGTATTTTATTTATTAATGCATTTTTAATAATATATGGTTAATAAGGATCTAGTTTAAGCTTACAAACAAATAAATTTTAGTTTTTAATACAATACAAAAAAGTAATCTAAATTTACGAGTGCATGTACTGTAAATATAGTACGTACATAGTTGTAAATGTATATATTTTGATATGATTTTATGTGCTTTAAACGTTTTTCTAGTGATATTACGACTTCAATATTTGTGGCGGACAGACGTAAAGTCGAATAAAATGACTTAAACTTGATTTTTATTTTTCCATATACTTTTTTGATAAACGACGTATAATCGGGAACGACGTAAGTTGAGGTATACCTGTATAGGATATGGAGGAAATATACTGTCTTTCAGCATTAAATTTATTTACTTGATGAACTGAATACATGCAAGTACTTTCAAAATTTCAAAATGTCACCCTCAGGCAAATATTAAAAAATTTCTACTCAAATTTTGTACAAATTCTTTGTGTTGACTGAACATAAGAATGCATTCTAAACCTAAATGCATAACAAGTGAGAGAATTCAAATATGTGCAGTAAAGTTTTGATTTAAATTAAAAACAAATATGGAGATATTCACAACACATTACATGTGGTTAAACAAAATACAAAAATGTATAACCAAAATAACAAACAAAGTAAGGCTAAAATTTAAAAAAATCCACATAACAGAGTTTGAGAGTGAGAAAGTTGCAAGGTTTTAACAAAAATATATATAATTCCCAGATGAACAGGCTTCTGCAATACAAACATTGCTGAAGAATGGGCAGTTTAGGTGGCCCTTAGTAATGTAAAATTATTTCTAATATCTTTTTCACAAAGTCAGAGAGGGTGTGCTATTTTTAGCATCATCCTGATGTTCATTTAAATGATTTAACTTTCTAGATGTGACACCCTTGTAAATGATGTTTGTTCCCCTTTGTACTTTCTGTAATGGGATTATGTAAACTCCAGACTTTTCCAAAAGAGTAAGACAATCCCTATCATTATATTGAATTCTACAAGTGATAACTGAGGTTTGATGGTAAGTATGACCTCATGATTTTTGTAAGTACAAACTATTCATAAAGTAACAGACCCTAAGTAAGGAATAGGAGGTTGTGCAAATATTAGCCTTTGTTTTTGTTGTTGGTGAGCAGTGGACAGAAAGAACTGTGGACCAAGTTGTTGATATAGTTAAACTTGGAGAGCAAATACCAGCATTGTATACAGTGGTAGCTACTAAATGAAGTTCATCCTTTATCAAAGCTGGAGATGAGGGCTATAAGTATGCCCTAAAAATAAGGACAGCTGTAGCTGAATTATGTATCCAGGTAGCTGAAAGGAAGAAGCTGGTATGATATATGGAGATAAATTGAACTTATGGTGTACAGTGAAAATAGACAAGTGGTTGTTCTATGTATCACTAGATCTATGTTTGATCAACATAAAAAATTTTTAAAAATTGCTATTTGAATTTTGTATATACTTTGTGTGAGGATGACATTTTGAAATGTCAAAAATACTCTCATGCATTTAATTCATCAAGTAAATTAATTTAATGCCAAAAGACAGTATATTTCCTCTATTATTCAAATATCATTTTTGAAAATTATATACTACATAATAAAACTTACTCTACATAACTTTATTCAAATTAGACTAACTTAAGATAATTTCCAACTCTCTTTTTTTTCTTTACATACAATAAAATGCTTACTGAGACAAGTTGCTAGACATGCAAGAATGATGGCCAATGCACCATAACCAAGAGTAACTGTAGGTTTTCTTAATTTGCTTCTGATATTATCATCCCAACAACTGCATTGATGACATACATAATCTCCAGGACATGTGCATTTATAACCATTTCCATCTGGTAAGTTTTCACAAATGCCATCTCTGCCACAGGGCTGAGAAAGGCATTCATTCAAGTCTGTACATTTCAGTCCGTCTCCAGATACCTGAAAACCGCTTGGACAACTGTAGAAAAATATGAATATTAAACCAGCAGAAATAAACTTGTACATCTGAACTGCATATTTTTCAGGTTAGTAAAGAAGAAAAATAGATTTAGAGAGTGGTTTAGGTCATGAAAATATTAGAATAAATCAGTTCAGTTGCACCTAGTGGCACTTTCTGCTGGTAAAAGCAGAAAAAGAAGTTACTTACTGAGAATATTGAGTAGACAGACAAGAATTGCAGCAAGAGCTGCCATACTTAGACGCATAACTTTCTCTTCACGTCTTGCAGTACACAATTCACCACCAAAAGCAAGCGGACAATCACAATAAAATCCTTCTCCATTCAAGCGATTAACACAGGATCCACCATTTAAACAAGGTTCATTAAGGCATTCATCATTGTCTGTACAATTTTTACCATCTTCTGTTATAATAAAGCCCTGACGACATCTAGTTGTTATTCAGAAGAACAGAACAGTCAAAGAATAAGGAAACAGAATGGAACAGTATGCTTCATATTTAAGGCAATTTTAAGGGAAAGGAAATGTGTTTAGTTAAATATATATGTTATATATAATAACATGCAAATTTAATATAAATTTCATGAAAAATTATATATGCATTGAAACTTTAACAGTTTCATCTTACCGACACTCATGTAACCGCCATAAATCTACACAGATGAATGGTGGCTGGCAGATTACACCATGACATGGATCATTTGAAGGACAACCATCAACTAAATTTCGCCATTCAACAACAGCAGCATTTTCTGATCCGTTTTCCATTGGTAGATATTTTTGATCAAGACGAATGTCATTCATACAGCCTACAATTATTAAATTTTAATGTCAACATTATTAAATAATTAATTATATCAAAAATTACTATATATAATTACTTCAAGATATTACATTTTATCTTGATGTATTGATATTTGAGTACATTTATTAAAATTTTCCTGAAAATCATCTATTAATTTTTGATTAAGAAAAAGCACCACCACTAGATCTGAATATGCAATATTCAGATATTGCAATATTACATTTCAAAATTAATTGCACTGGTACATTAAGCCTAGCAATCAACTGATTAATAATTTGCTTTCAAAATCAAAATATGATTACAGTGGAACCTCTAGATTCGTAATATTCGATATTAGTCACATTTTGATGACTTTTTTATTTTTCCATATTTGTTAGTATTTTCTGTATTTATCATCATTCCCAACACTGAAAGTGGCACTACAATCACACGCACGTGCCGATCAGCTAGCTGATTTTAATCAGTCTGCTTTGTGCAGTCGTCATGTGTGTTGTTGAGTTATTAAAAATAATTAATGCAAGAAACCAAGTTCTAATCATTCCAAAGTGGCACCCAAATGTTGCTATAGTCAACCAAAACACAAATACATTCAATGATAATGTAATTGCCTACTTCAGAAAAGTTTTAAAAAGCAGACAAAAACACACAACACTGGACAAGTTCTTTATTAAATTGAGTGCTATTGAATCATCATCAGAACAGACCCCATGATCATAATTGGAATTACCTAATGTTTTAATTGATATGTCTTCTAAACAATAATACTATATTATTAATATACTATATTAATAATACTGTTCTTCCTCTTCTTCCACTATACTGTATTTATTTAATACAATAAAGATAGTTTTACAAACAACATAATTTTTATTCTTGTACCTTTTTTTCAGAATGGGAATGGATTAATTGAATATCAGTTATTTATGAGAAAAACTGTTTCTATATTCGTCACATCCATATTTGATAGGTCCTTAAGAACAGATTAATGACGAATATAGAGGTTCCACTGTATTTTTATTTTTAGTTCATTACATTAATATATGTTTGAAATAATTTATGAGATTTAAGTTTTGTATTTTGTATAATTTATTACAGTCTTCCATAACTTTTCACATATTGTGAATTCTGAAGAAATTGAAAGAATTTCTGTCAAAGCTTATAATCATTGGTTTAATACAATAAAACTCTCAAAGTTTTCATGATAGTTGCTAAAAAATTCAAATAAAATCTGATATATTCCTAAGCTTCAGAGTTTAAAACAAATTATCATCAATTTATTTTTCACATCTTTACATAATATTTAATAAACTTTATTTCCAAATAATAGTCAGTTACTTATTATAAAAGAACTTCTTGTCTGGAAAATTGTTGAAACTAATATCGCAAATACCATAGTAGAGATAACAGACTTAACACATTGCTACTGGTAACATCAAAATGACACTTCTATCATCAGAATACAACTTACACATATATCTGCACTGCACACTGGGATGAATATAAAATTAGATTCACTTCAACCATTAACCAGTGTGAATTACGATTAACTCTTGAATACTGAACATTTTTGTAACTCTTTCTGGGTTCTTCCACAGGCTTCTTTCACTTCCAAACCTGCCAGATCTTCTAAAATGAACATGAATATAAAATTTGAACATAATCAAATGGTGAGATGAAGATTTTGAATAACATGTCCTTATGCACATGCATTCTTGTGATATTCTTGTTTACATAAGATCAAACATTAACCATCATTGTCAATAAATGACCATAATATCAAACAACTTATACAGAATACCAATAATAAAGTTGCATTCTGATGACAGAAGTGTCATTTTGATGTTACCAGTAGCAGTGTGATAAGTCTCTGTTACCTCTACTATAGTATTTGAGATATTAGTTTCAATGGTCATTTACCCTTAGTAAGAATTTTACTTGCATTAGTTTTTGAATATATCATAATGATGTTTACAAACATAAATGAAAATCATAATCATTCAGTTTAGTATTTTTGTAAATAAGATTCTACATCATTTTACCTATTTAATCTTAATTAAAAAAAAACTGGCACATGCCCTTGCATGACTTTCTTAGCATTCAATTTACAAAGTTACAGTTGTAAGTGACAGAATCTGTTACAAGATTCTTTAAAATAATTTTATATTATTAATTATTATAAAAAGGTAAAAGGCTTATTTCTGGTGGGTAGAAGTGAGATTTTAAAGAAATTGTAAATGCCAATAATGAATAAAGCTTTCATTAAGTCTGATCCCACTCAAGATACAACACATGACCACCTCTATTTCCCCCATCCCTTCATATTTAACCACGAAAATTTAATAGCATCCCTGCCAAGTTTAATATTTTTGGTTCATCCATATTATCATAATGATATTGAATGTTAATTCCTAAATTCCAATTTAATCGTGTATAATTTTTCTGTTTACTGGTACATAAACTATTAGTCAATTTATTCTCCTATATTAGTACTCATGGCAGTTGACAGTGAGATCAAGCATTTCAAATAAAATATAAACAAATATTGATATTTTCAAAATTGGTTGAAAACGCCAATGATTATATAATTTATTAAAAATCAAGTAATGCATATAAGAATACTTTAACTCAACATCATCATCAGCTGAATATATAACTTTGTATATATTACAGATATATTGTTGGTTATTATATTTTAAATCTACAGTTTTCTAATTTTTCAAAACATTTGTTCATATTTCAAATTTATTTTCAAATAAAAGTTTTTAAACAATATTATGAAAATAATTTATATGATGGCTGATATGCCAGCATATGAACAAATTAAAATATAAATTTATTTAGGGAAAATTTATCAAAATTTAATGTAACTTTACCTTCGGTATAATCATTTTCAACTACTGTTACTCTTGGGCCTAAATATTGGACATCTCCACCAGCAATCACATTCTGTTTCTCTATTTCCATCAATTGATGCTGATTTTCATAATCTAATATTTCGTTATAACGACGTCCACCACCACCATCTAATGAAATACTTGCTGTACTCCCATATCGTAAAACATGTACAGTGTGCCATTGACCATCACTAACTTGAGCCGAAGGGAGTGAAAGTTCTTTTTCATCAGATGTTCGAAAATGATTTAAATTAAAACGAAATCTTAATTTCTTATCTCTAATCTGTAAAATAGAAAATAATATAACTAAAAAAATTTTTTATTTTATAAATATAAATAAAAATCAATAACTTGCCTCTAATATACAGTATTCTCGTCCATGTTTACTAGTTGCTCTGAAAAGTTCTCCATGTTTTTGTCTTGTTCGAAACTGTAGTTGTATATCTGTTACATATGGATGCGGTTCAAAGGATAATGCATATTTGATATAGCTACTCTTTTCGAACATTTTTGATTGTGTAGCTAATAGGAAGAATAAAAAAATATTAGTATCAAATAACAAGAAATACATAAATTAAAAACTTTTAAACTACTTTATTTACCTTTATCACAACGAGCACCATGCCACCCTGGATCACATATGCATTTTGCAGAATTATATGTACCCTCACATAGACCGTGATCACAAAGACGAGTTATACTGTTAGCAGAACAAGAATCTTCAGCTGGAGGACAACCAATTTTACTACCATTTGAACTTCCAGGAGTTCCTAAATCATACATCTAAAGTAGAAACTAATTAATAATAAAGCAGACTTAAATGATATAATATGAAACTATCCACATACTTCACTGTTATGAGTAACTCTTCTGATGCATCCTTCAAATCCTGTTCTTGTATGCTGAAATTTCCAATTATAATTATTTAATTTCTGATGATGTACACCACCTAACTGTAGAGGCGTATTGACATTTAGAAATTCGTTGAATGCCACAATTGCACCATGACCTTCGCAACTAGAACGACCATTCTTAGGTGGATCAGTATCATCTTTGGGCTCACTGTTTTTACAATTATCGACTACTAGTCGTACCGTCTGAAATTAAATATTATTATTTTTTATATTAAAGTTCTTAAATGTATTAAATATTTTTAAGCTCTAGAAATTTACTGTATAACACAAAATGTAAAGAAAATGAATGAGAGAGAACTAAAGGCTAAGTATACATATGTATATCTTTTGTGGTATCAGAAAAAGCTGCAATGGTAAAAGAATGTCTACAGAATACAAAAAAATTTTTTCACACTTTTTAAAGATGCTATTAGTTGACTTTAGAGACAAAGGAAAAACTGCTTGATGAATTATTAATCATAATTTAAAACTGCCATTTAATACATCTTTTCACATAATCCATACCCCCTTTCAAACTGAGTTTTAAATACACAATCTGTAAGTCTGTATATCCATACAAAATTATGGTAACTAATTTTTCAAGTAGAAAATACAAATATTAAACTAAGAAACTGAATAAAAATTGAAAATAAAACAAAAAAAAAAAAAAAAATTTTTTTTGCTTAAAAGTAGTTTTTAAGTTTTGATTTATATCCTTTAAAACTTAAACTATAGTATGAAAAAATTTTACCTCTCTATCCCAAAATACATCAATTTTGTGCCATTCTCCATCATGGAGGCCTTCTTTTACAAAAACTTCTACTTCTGATGTACCTGAACCAAAATCTATTAAAAGTCGTGGTCGACCATTTGCAAGTTCCAATGAAATAAAATCTTGAACTACTTCTTCTCCAAATTCTGGATCAGAAATAGGGCCATTATAAAATAATAATCCATCAGGTTTGCGAGTCATAAATTCCAATGAGAAGTGAGACTCTTCACACTGTTGCAATGCAGGAAACCAGGCCCAACCTCTATTGAAATATCGAGTAGTCTGTTGACATTGTGGTCCTTCATATCCACGATGACATTTACATCTACAATGATTCAAAATATTTATATTTGATTGGAATTAATATAAAATTGTTATAATCCTTTATTAAATGTACATTAACCACTCAGCAGTGACCGATGGATATATCCATCAAGGGTGATCATGTGGCAGTGGTGAAGGACATATATATGTCCTTCACCACCCCCTTTTGACCCTATCCATCCTTCTTTTGTGGATATCGCTAAAAACTACCACCAAAAAAAATTCACATAAAAAATGAATTATGTAACAATAAAAAAAAAAGACTTTTCTTTACTAGACATAACTGTTTACAAAATCTTTTTCCGAAACGGCAATAAGAAAAAACATGTGGAAAAATACTTTAAAAATTTTCCACATTTATTCTCTATTACATAGGGATAGCACCATACCTGACTAACCCACTGCTGATAGAATAACGCAAAAAAGATATGGCTTTATTTAAAATACTGAAGATAAATTTTTTGTTAATTTAAGATCCCATTATCAAATATTACTTAATAGTAAAAAATCATTTATCACTTGCATTGTTAATATGGTATGGTTGTTATGGTAATAAGGTAAGCAAAAGTATATTGAAAAGGATTTAAACATAATAAATTTAAAAAGAATTTTTAAAATAGCATTAACTTCAACATTCTAATAATATTTCAGTTAGCTAAATAAGTATCAAATACCTTATTATCAACAAAATTTTAAATAAGAACAAGCTCTTTTGGTCTAATTTAGATAATCTTCAGGTTCTCTACTTTTTTGAATACATTAAAAATTTGTTGCATTGTGGGACAGAAATTTAAGAGTTACAACTTGTAAAAACATAATTTACAGTGTAAAGTATACTACATAATTTGAAGGTATAATAATAAAATTAATAAATTAAGTAACAATGGGTATTTAAAAGTGTAATAAAAGTTTAATTTTATTAGATCAAAAAATAGTTGACCTTATTAAAAATTCTTGCTGGTAATAAGGTATTTGGTATGCATTTAGTATTAAAACTATTAATTATAGTTTTAATACTAAATTAATTATTATAATATAGATTAGTTATATTTTAGTTAGCATTAAAAATATTAATGCAATGTATTATAGGACATTTATTCTTTACTTGCTAATTCAATCATTATAAGTATTTCAATTATTGAATAAACACAGTAAATGATAAAATTATAACTCTTGTTCAATCTACATTATATAAAGAAACAATAATACAGGCATAATTATCTCTCAAAAGACCCTTACATTTAAATATTACAAAAATTTAATTCTTTACTTCAGAGAATACAATATATATAAGTAAATATATATATAATATTAACTAAAACTTCATTACATGAATATAATCACAAATATTTTATTATTAAATGCTGATAAACTGGAAATTGATATCTTTACACAGATCACACATTTCAACCCAATAGCAGAGACCCAAAATCTCAGTTTAATTTTGAATAAATTTTCCAAGTATTTTGATTTTACTAAATTTAAATTTTGAATAAAGCATTTTATTGTACTAATGACTAATGAAGAAATTATTAAAATTAAAATATTTAGAAACAGAAGCTTTATGTAGTTATTTGTAAACTAGATTTAAATTTACTATTTTATTTCTATATACTTTTTACATTAGTAATGATTTTTCTTTATATTAAGTACTTACTTTATTCCAATAGTTGTTTCTGAACACATTCCATCATTAAAACAAGGTGGTGGTCTTTTACGGCAACTTTCTTTTTCTGAAAAATCTCTAGCACCGCATGTACATTTTGGTTGAACCCACGTGTTTACTCCAACAAATGATGTACGATTAGCATTTACCATAATTGGTTGCCTATCCACCATCAAAACATTTGTACAACTAGTTTCACAATTATGATTTTCAATAAGGCACTCATCAATTCCAACCATTGTTATATTGATGCCAACTTCTTGTTCTATCTAAATATGTTAAAATGAAGTGAATAAACTGTATACTTATACAATATAATTAATCTTATAACTTACAAAAAATTACCAATTCTCTATTTAAGGCAACTATTCCATTGAGCATTTCTGCTTTATAATAGGGTGATCCATGTGCTGAAAATCTTACATCAGTGATAGGAGGTCTTTCTTGTTTGAGAATTACACTAAAGACGTCAACATTTTCTTTACGTGCACTAGTAAGACGTGCAATACAGTTACGAAACTTTTCATATTTACTAATAACTTGACGATTTTCTTTCCAATTCCAGACTCTAATGAAGTCTTCAGCTGTAATGCCTGTAGCAAGTGATTTATTATTACTCTTTTATGATTCAAATTTGAAAATAAATAAATAAAAAAAAACTTTAAAATTATTACAAACCAGAAATTCTTATTGATCCTGAATTATAAATAGCCTCTTCAGAAATCTCTTTGACAGTAACAGAAACATTAGCTTGAACTTCCTGTGAAAATAATCTATCAAATACAACAAATCTGAGAATGTAAGTCCTTCCACTAGTAACTTGTTTCATTGTAATGAGACCAGTTTGTTCATCTAAATCAAAATTTGGATGTGGCATATTATTTTCCCAGAAGAAAGTTTTATCTGGTAAATCCCAATCATCTAAATCTTCAACATGAACTCTACCAATTGGTGTTGGAGGTGATTCTCCTGTGAAGAAGACATAAGTTTAATTAGATGAAACTTAAAATCTTGAATTTGTAATACCAAATTTGTATGTACTTTTTCTAATTTATAAATAAAAAAGATTTATTAATTCCAATATTAAATATATAAATATGTTTCCGTTAGTACGATACAGGTAACCCCTGTATAACACGGGAGTTACATTCCAAAAAATTGCTGTGTTATGTGAATCTGTGTTATACGAAACAAAGAACTAGTGCAAAAAGGGAGGGTTAGGTTCCAAAAATTAAAAAAACATGCTGTTAAATCCTTATTTAAATCGGATTTATTATTCATTTTTTTCATACGTAAAATACTTATTTATTATTTAAGTAAATATTTTACCACAGGATTATTCATTCTATATGATGATCTCAGCATGAACATCATCAACCCGTAAGTTTTTGGGTGCGTTCGTTAATAGCGGTTGCTCTGCAATAAGAGTGCACTGCTGTTTGTAGGCATTTAGGAACGACGGTGAAAGAAAGATGGCGGCACCTGCACTATCGATAGTATCGTGATGGAGGAATCTATAATTCTAAAATGAGCTTTTAGAGGCAAAAAAAGTATCCCAATTGTAAAATTTAACCATTAAATGGATTATTGTTGAAAGAGCATTCAAAGTAGCCACGAAAACAATTAGAATGCTTGCACGGAGTTACGCAGAAGTATAAAAGAATGCACCCTTTATTACATTTCATGTTGTACAAGGGTTTTACCCAATTCCCCAACTGTGTTAGAGTGAATCCGTGCTATAGAAGTGCCATGTTATATGGGGGTTACCTGTATATATAAAATTATATAATAAAAAGCATCATCATCATCACATAAACACAATAAATTTAAATAGTTCATTCAATATTAAAATATTTATAAAAATTAAAAGCAATTTTATATGTTTATGTTAATTCAAATAAAAAAATGTTTAATACCTTTGAAGTTATAAACAAAAATGCTCTTGCTACCAGCATGCATTCTATTGTCATTAATATCACCAATAACAACTGTTAAAGTCCCAGTACTTGTCATAGATGGATTTCCATTGTCTTTCATAACTAATGGTACCAAATATTCTTTTTGCTGTTCTCTGTCAAATCTGACTTTAGAGTTAACAACTGCCATTCCATCACCATTTGCACCAGCTATGGAATTATATATGCATATCAGTACTAAGAAAACAATTATAAAAATAAATAAATCATAAGGACAACTTTAAGTTAAAAGTACACATTTTTCCAGGTTGTTATGTATTTAATGACAACTAAATCCTTAAGCCAGTTTCTCCTCAATCAGAAAATTTTATGGCAAATAATACTTCTGTCTATTTAAATTGAAATTATTGATAATTTTAGCACTTGTAATCTTTAAAAAGTTAAAGGGTTTTTTTAAAAATGTGTGTGACTAAGAGTAACTAGAGGATGAACTGATGAATTCATGGAGCACACAGTGGGTTAAGCAAATTTTAATTAGTTAACATTATATATATATATTTTTCATTATTACAAACAACTATGATATAGTAACAGAAGAATGAAAATGAAATTAAAATAAAATCTCTTGCCATTTTGTTGAAGAGCTGTAGTCACCTTAGAGAAAGAAAGAGAAAAGAGGAAAAAAAAAAACTGTTTTCAGGTTAAATGTATTGATGGCCTAATAATAAAATATTTAGGCAATGTGACAAGATATGTAATTAAACAAGACCAATATACCTGTTATAATAAACAGAGAGCAAATGACTTCTTCCTAATCTTTCAAATACTTAAAGACAGATGTCTAAAAATGTCACTAAAGAACTTGAAAAAAAGCCATTAGAAGTATTGGGTTTTTTATATTATATTTTGAAATGACTAATAATAGATTTTCTGATGTAATAATTGACCAAAACTACCAACAAAATTGTTGGTAAAAAACAAAAAAAAAAGTCATTAACAGAGGATAAAATTTTAAAAAATCAGGGTGGTGAAAACTAATTTTCATTATAATCCTGTTATGTTTTGGATTAGAAGTCATTGATCAGTAATTTTCCAGATTTCATACCAAAAATTATTAAAAAACAATTTTTTAATGTATGATCTTTCTTTCATCAAAATAAACTAACAGTAACAGAATCAAAACCAGAATTTTTTTAAAATAAAATCATTCATATATATTCTAAATGTTTTATTCATACCATCATCTGTTGCAAGTATTTTTACTTGGTGTCTAGGAGTTTCTTCTCTATCTAGCATTCTCTGAATTTTCACAACTCCATTTCTATCAATTGTAAATTGCCGTTTCTTGTCAGATGATCGATCAATTGAATAACTGGAAGTATAAATTTTATTATTATTGCATATACTTTCTTCCACCCTCTTCTTCTAACTTTTGACTCGTATTTCGAATAAAATAAACATCTTCAAGACCAGTTTCATCTTTCCATAACTNTTTTTAATTATAAAAGCTAAAAAGATACTGCATGATTTAGAATTGAACTAGAACTAAAACATTCTTTGCTCAAAATTAATAATAATACCTGTTAATCCTAAAATGTCTGTTTACATCTAGGTTTTCTTATATTCATCAAAAAGTTTTATTAATTTTTTTTATAGATTGTTAAATTCCATTTGCTGAACCATGAACCAATGTTTGAGAAATATGAGTTCAATGTCCATAATTAATACAAATTTAATGATGATAAAGTTTTGTGTACCCATGCATTTGAAATGTGAATTTGTTAGGAACTTGCATACAATTAACCAAATTAATTGATGCTAATAAATTAAACTAAAGCGCTTTTTATGTAAAATTATATAATAGTTTTTATGAAAGTTTGCAAACTATGTAACAAAATGATTAATAGTTTATTTCATAGGATCTTTCAATTTCACTTTGCTTTTGCTATATAAGATTAAATGTTTCATGTTAATATAGTAGTCCTATTCAAGTTTAATGGTTAGCAGTAAAAAACTACAAATACATAGTATATTATGAAATCATTTTTTAAAATAAAAATTTTATTGAATCATAAAAAAATACCTGTAATGAAATATATTTCAAAAAATACTCACTAGGATCATGATGAACATCAAAAAATTGCCTGATAATGTCTGGTGCATTGGGATCTAAACGGAATGTAAATGGTGGCCCATTTCCTTTTGATCGATCATCATCGTCAGTAGCCAATATCTGTTCTACTCTTTGAGGGGGACTATTTTCCAATATAACTGGTCGGTAATCTTTAACAAATCTTGGTGCATTATCATTTATATCACTAACAACAACTGTTAATGTTGCAGTTGCAGTACGTGGTGGTGAACCTAAAAATTGATTCAGATATCTTTAAATATTCTTATTTTTTTAAAATAAAATCATTGACATATATAAGATGCTTTATTTCCCTTTGAAAAAAAAAAATTAATTTTTAATTTAGGAATTTCTGGAAAAAAAGGATTAACTGGAGCAGGATTTGAAACTGCAACTTCTGCAACACTGTCTAATCATTGCTTCTGAACTATTAATTTAGATATAGCTGTTTGGGTTATACATGATGCCAACTGGGAATGCCTTAAATGCCCATAACCTTATCTCTTTAGCACTCAACCAGTAAGCACTTTACCTTAGTATGGTATATATTGACAAAAGTTGCAGGTTCGAGTCCTGATTCATGCCAATTCTTTTTTTTTCAGAAATTTCTGAATTAAAAATTAATATTAGATGCTAGCATATCCAGATACCTGTAATAAAATTAATTGGCAGTTAATTATTAACGNAAAATTTTTTTGCTTAAAAGTAGTTTTTAAGTTTTGATTTATATCCTTTAAAACTTAAACTATAGTATGAAAAAATTTTACCTCTCTATCCCAAAATACATCAATTTTGTGCCATTCTCCATCATGGAGGCCTTCTTTTACAAAAACTTCTACTTCTGATGTACCTGAACCAAAATCTATTAAAAGTCGTGGTCGACCATTTGCAAGTTCCAATGAAATAAAATCTTGAACTACTTCTTCTCCAAATTCTGGATCAGAAATAGGGCCATTATAAAATAATAATCCATCAGGTTTGCGAGTCATAAATTCCAATGAGAAGTGAGACTCTTCACACTGTTGCAATGCAGGAAACCAGGCCCAACCTCTATTGAAATATCGAGTAGTCTGTTGACATTGTGGTCCTTCATATCCACGATGACATTTACATCTACAATGATTCAAAATATTTATATTTGATTGGAATTAATATAAAATTGTTATAATCCTTTATTAAATGTACATTAACCACTCAGCAGTGACCGATGGATATATCCATCAAGGGTGATCATGTGGCAGTGGTGAAGGACATATATATGTCCTTCACCACCCCCTTTTGACCCTATCCATCCTTCTTTTGTGGATATCGCTAAAAACTACCACCAAAAAAAATTCACATAAAAAATGAATTATGTAACAATAAAAAAAAAAGACTTTTCTTTACTAGACATAACTGTTTACAAAATCTTTTTCCGAAACGGCAATAAGAAAAAACATGTGGAAAAATACTTTAAAAATTTTCCACATTTATTCTCTATTACATAGGGATAGCACCATACCTGACTAACCCACTGCTGATAGAATAACGCAAAAAAGATATGGCTTTATTTAAAATACTGAAGATAAATTTTTTGTTAATTTAAGATCCCATTATCAAATATTACTTAATAGTAAAAAATCATTTATCACTTGCATTGTTAATATGGTATGGTTGTTATGGTAATAAGGTAAGCAAAAGTATATTGAAAAGGATTTAAACATAATAAATTTAAAAAGAATTTTTAAAATAGCATTAACTTCAACATTCTAATAATATTTCAGTTAGCTAAATAAGTATCAAATACCTTATTATCAACAAAATTTTAAATAAGAACAAGCTCTTTTGGTCTAATTTAGATAATCTTCAGGTTCTCTACTTTTTTGAATACATTAAAAATTTGTTGCATTGTGGGACAGAAATTTAAGAGTTACAACTTGTAAAAACATAATTTACAGTGTAAAGTATACTACATAATTTGAAGGTATAATAATAAAATTAATAAATTAAGTAACAATGGGTATTTAAAAGTGTAATAAAAGTTTAATTTTATTAGATCAAAAAATAGTTGACCTTATTAAAAATTCTTGCTGGTAATAAGGTATTTGGTATGCATTTAGTATTAAAACTATTAATTATAGTTTTAATACTAAATTAATTATTATAATATAGATTAGTTATATTTTAGTTAGCATTAAAAATATTAATGCAATGTATTATAGGACATTTATTCTTTACTTGCTAATTCAATCATTATAAGTATTTCAATTATTGAATAAACACAGTAAATGATAAAATTATAACTCTTGTTCAATCTACATTATATAAAGAAACAATAATACAGGCATAATTATCTCTCAAAAGACCCTTACATTTAAATATTACAAAAATTTAATTCTTTACTTCAGAGAATACAATATATATAAGTAAATATATATATAATATTAACTAAAACTTCATTACATGAATATAATCACAAATATTTTATTATTAAATGCTGATAAACTGGAAATTGATATCTTTACACAGATCACACATTTCAACCCAATAGCAGAGACCCAAAATCTCAGTTTAATTTTGAATAAATTTTCCAAGTATTTTGATTTTACTAAATTTAAATTTTGAATAAAGCATTTTATTGTACTAATGACTAATGAAGAAATTATTAAAATTAAAATATTTAGAAACAGAAGCTTTATGTAGTTATTTGTAAACTAGATTTAAATTTACTATTTTATTTCTATATACTTTTTACATTAGTAATGATTTTTCTTTATATTAAGTACTTACTTTATTCCAATAGTTGTTTCTGAACACATTCCATCATTAAAACAAGGTGGTGGTCTTTTACGGCAACTTTCTTTTTCTGAAAAATCTCTAGCACCGCATGTACATTTTGGTTGAACCCACGTGTTTACTCCAACAAATGATGTACGATTAGCATTTACCATAATTGGTTGCCTATCCACCATCAAAACATTTGTACAACTAGTTTCACAATTATGATTTTCAATAAGGCACTCATCAATTCCAACCATTGTTATATTGATGCCAACTTCTTGTTCTATCTAAATATGTTAAAATGAAGTGAATAAACTGTATACTTATACAATATAATTAATCTTATAACTTACAAAAAATTACCAATTCTCTATTTAAGGCAACTATTCCATTGAGCATTTCTGCTTTATAATAGGGTGATCCATGTGCTGAAAATCTTACATCAGTGATAGGAGGTCTTTCTTGTTTGAGAATTACACTAAAGACGTCAACATTTTCTTTACGTGCACTAGTAAGACGTGCAATACAGTTACGAAACTTTTCATATTTACTAATAACTTGACGATTTTCTTTCCAATTCCAGACTCTAATGAAGTCTTCAGCTGTAATGCCTGTAGCAAGTGATTTATTATTACTCTTTTATGATTCAAATTTGAAAATAAATAAATAAAAAAAAACTTTAAAATTATTACAAACCAGAAATTCTTATTGATCCTGAATTATAAATAGCCTCTTCAGAAATCTCTTTGACAGTAACAGAAACATTAGCTTGAACTTCCTGTGAAAATAATCTATCAAATACAACAAATCTGAGAATGTAAGTCCTTCCACTAGTAACTTGTTTCATTGTAATGAGACCAGTTTGTTCATCTAAATCAAAATTTGGATGTGGCATATTATTTTCCCAGAAGAAAGTTTTATCTGGTAAATCCCAATCATCTAAATCTTCAACATGAACTCTACCAATTGGTGTTGGAGGTGATTCTCCTGTGAAGAAGACATAAGTTTAATTAGATGAAACTTAAAATCTTGAATTTGTAATACCAAATTTGTATGTACTTTTTCTAATTTATAAATAAAAAAGATTTATTAATTCCAATATTAAATATATAAATATGTTTTAGTTAGTACGATACAGGTAACCCCTGTATAACACGGGAGTTACATTCCAAAAAATTGCTGTGTTATGTGAATCTGTGTTATACGAAACAAAGAACTAGTGCAAAAAGGGAGGGTTAGGTTCCAAAAATTAAAAAAACATGCTGTTAAATCCTTATTTAAATCGGATTTATTATTCATTTTTTTCATACGTAAAATACTTATTTATTATTTAAGTAAATATTTTACCACAGGATTATTCATTCTATATGATGATCTCAGCATGAACATCATCAACCCGTAAGTTTTTGGGTGCGTTCGTTAATAGCGGTTGCTCTGCAATAAGAGTGCACTGCTGTTTGTAGGCATTTAGGAACGACGGTGAAAGAAAGATGGCGGCACCTGCACTATCGATAGTATCGTGATGGAGGAATCTATAATTCTAAAATGAGCTTTTAGAGGCAAAAAAAGTATCCCAATTGTAAAATTTAACCATTAAATGGATTATTGTTGAAAGAGCATTCAAAGTAGCCACGAAAACAATTAGAATGCTTGCACGGAGTTACGCAGAAGTATAAAAGAATGCACCCTTTATTACATTTCATGTTGTACAAGGGTTTTACCCAATTCCCCAACTGTGTTAGAGTGAATCCGTGCTATAGAAGTGCCATGTTATATGGGGGTTACCTGTATATATAAAATTATATAATAAAAAGCATCATCATCATCACATAAACACAATAAATTTAAATAGTTCATTCAATATTAAAATATTTATAAAAATTAAAAGCAATTTTATATGTTTATGTTAATTCAAATAAAAAAATGTTTAATACCTTTGAAGTTATAAACAAAAATGCTCTTGCTACCAGCATGCATTCTATTGTCATTAATATCACCAATAACAACTGTTAAAGTCCCAGTACTTGTCATAGATGGATTTCCATTGTCTTTCATAACTAATGGTACCAAATATTCTTTTTGCTGTTCTCTGTCAAATCTGACTTTAGAGTTAACAACTGCCATTCCATCACCATTTGCACCAGCTATGGAATTATATATGCATATCAGTACTAAGAAAACAATTATAAAAATAAATAAATCATAAGGACAACTTTAAGTTAAAAGTACACATTTTTCCAGGTTGTTATGTATTTAAAGACAACTAAATCCTTAAGCCAGTTTCTCCTCAATCAGAAAATTTTATGGCAAATAATACTTCTGTCTATTTAAATTGAAATTATTGATAATTTTAGCACTTGTAATCTTTAAAAAGTTAAAGGGTTTTTTTTTAAAAATGTGTGTGACTAAGAGTAACTAGAGGATGAACTGATGAATTCATGGAGCACACAGTGGGTTAAGCAAATTTTAATTAGTTAACATTATATATATATATTTTTCATTATTACAAACAACTATGATATAGTAACAGAAGAATGAAAATGAAATTAAAATAAAATCTCTTGCCATTTTGTTGAAGAGCTGTAGTCACCTTAGAGAAAGAAAGAGAAAAGAGGAAAAAAAAAAACTGTTTTCAGGTTAAATGTATTGATGGCCTAATAATAAAATATTTAGGCAATGTGACAAGATATGTAATTAAACAAGACCAATATACCTGTTATAATAAACAGAGAGCAAATGACTTCTTCCTAATCTTTCAAATACTTAAAGACAGATGTCTAAAAATGTCACTAAAGAACTTGAAAAAAAGCCATTAGAAGTATTGGGTTTTTTATATTATATTTTGAAATGACTAATAATAGATTTTCTGATGTAATAATTGACCAAAACTACCAACAAAATTGTTGGTAAAAAACAAAAAAAAAAGTCATTAACAGAGGATAAAATTTTAAAAAATCAGGGTGGTGAAAACTAATTTTCATTATAATCCTGTTATGTTTTGGATTAGAAGTCATTGATCAGTAATTTTCCAGATTTCATACCAAAAATTATTAAAAAACAATTTTTTAATGTATGATCTTTCTTTCATCAAAATAAACTAACAGTAACAGAATCAAAACCAGAATTTTTTTAAAATAATTGACTACAAACAAGGTAATCAGTGGTATTGCTGTTCTGTTGTTTTACTTAATTTTTTAATTATAAAAGCTAAAAAGATACTGCATGATTTAGAATTGAACTAGAACTAAAACATTCTTTGCTCAAAATTAATAATAATACCTGTTAATCCTAAAATGTCTGTTTACATCTAGGTTTTCTTATATTCATCAAAAAGTTTTATTAATTTTTTTTATAGATTGTTAAATTCCATTTGCTGAACCATGAACCAATGTTTGAGAAATATGAGTTCAATGTCCATAATTAATACAAATTTAATGATGATAAAGTTTTGTGTACCCATGCATTTGAAATGTGAATTTGTTAGGAACTTGCATACAATTAACCAAATTAATTGATGCTAATAAATTAAACTAAAGCGCTTTTTATGTAAAATTATATAATAGTTTTTATGAAAGTTTGCAAACTATATAACAAAATGATTAATAGTTTATTTCATAGGATCTTTCAATTTCACTTTGCTTTTGCTATATAAGATTAAATGTTTCATGTTAATATAGTAGTCCTATTCAAGTTTAATGGTTAGCAGTAAAAAACTACAAATACATAGTATATTATGAAATCATTTTTTAAAATAAAAATTTTATTGAATCATAAAAAAATACCTGTAATGAAATATATTTCAAAAAATACTCACTAGGATCATGATGAACATCAAAAAATTGCCTGATAATGTCTGGTGCATTGGGATCTAAACGGAATGTAAATGGTGGCCCATTTCCTTTTGATCGATCATCATCGTCAGTAGCCAATATCTGTTCTACTCTTTGAGGGGGACTATTTTCCAATATAACTGGTCGGTAATCTTTAACAAATCTTGGTGCATTATCATTTATATCACTAACAACAACTGTTAATGTTGCAGTTGCAGTACGTGGTGGTGAACCTAAAAATTGATTCAGATATCTTTAAATATTCTTATTTTTTTAAAATAAAATCATTCATATATATTCTAAATGTTTTATTCATACCATCATCTGTTGCAAGTATTTTTACTTGGTGTCTAGGAGTTTCTTCTCTATCTAGCATTCTCTGAATTTTCACAACTCCATTTCTATCAATTGTAAATTGCCGTTTCTTGTCAGATGATCGATCAATTGAATAACTGGAAGTATAAATTTTATTATTATTGCTACATTAATTAATTATTATTAATAAATAAATATAGGAAAATATTCTATAAGATGCTATATTGAATTACTTTATTCAATTTTGTATTACCTATATAAATAGTTTGACAGAATGACAGCAGTCAATTGTTTTTGATCAAATGTTTCAAGTCTGTTTTATACACAAATTCTGTGAGGGGTTCTATTTTTGACATGGGCTAATGCATGATTGTAACCAAAGAATAAAAGACTAAGTATTAAAATAAAATTATAAAAAATTTTGATAAAGCTATAAGATAATTTTATGTTAAGGTAATAGAAAAATAAATCTCAAGTCTCAATATGTAATCAGTTCAAACACCATTATTTTCTAGGAATTATCACATCCACAGACTCCAAAAATACTAGCCAATCTAACTACAACTTTATTTCACCCATTTGGGTGGAATAAAGTTGTAGATAGATTGGCTAGTATAGATTGACACATTGAAACAAAAAGGAGCCAATGTATTCTGTAATGTAAACATTGTGTTGTTCATGCTTTGTGTGTTTTAATTTTCTTAAAAAATTTTTTTTAGTTGTTTCATTAATTGAGGTGTTTTGTTATTAGCATATTGTGTCAGCCTGTCTAGTTGCTGTGTAATATTGTTTATTTGTATTTCTATTCTTGTTTGCCAGGAAGACTTCTGAAGGGTTTTTGATTTGTGAGCTTCTGTCTGTGAATGTAGTTTTAGTCCACAATAGGTCACTACTGTGACTGCACCAGCATAGATTAGTGTGTGGATGTCTGAGAGGGTAGAAACAGAATGAATGCAATCTGGTAATATGTAAATGTTCACATACTGTAGGTGTTTTCCCTACTAGTTTAAAAGTGTTGATTTTGGGAATGTGTAGCCATTGTGAAGAATCAATGCCTGTAAATTGTAATGAGTGCTTCTTAGAAAAGGAGAGAGAAAGTGAATTAAACCTGAATCTATTTCAGGCAGTGAAAAAGTGTTGATATTCTCATCATCAATGAAAATAGTGGTGGTAGGAACAGCATATATCTTGGTGATCCTGATGGATAATGTGATTATTGTTGATGTTGGGAATATTTGTTGGAGTAATTGTTCTGCAATTTGTCATTTGATACATTCTAGTGTTGTTTGTGGTATAAAATTGTTATGCATAATTGTTCTTTTTTGATCAACCACCCTTTGTATAATGAATGTGCGATGAGGATATTGTTGTGAGAACAAGTGATGTAACTGTTGTCTATATGCTGTCATGTCTATTTTGAGTTTTGTGATGGTAAAGTAAATACGGATGATAAACTCATTAATTTCTGATGTCCATTTCATCCCTTGGCATGGTTTACCTGCCTTAGTGGTTTGCAGCTGTATTGCCTCAGAAATATCAAAATTAGGCTGGTTTCCCAAAACTGGTGTGGGCATTGCAGTAGTCATACTTGGACCAGTGCTGCTTTCACCATTGGTGGCCAAGGGAGACTGACAAATTTTTCAAATGTTAGCCTCTGCCTAACCTTGTTGATCCAGGCAACATCTGAGCTGGTATTACATTTGGATCATGTTATTAGATAATTTAGATGATTAGATCTCCACAGATGTTGGTTCAGTTACTCTTGGTTTCATTTCTCCTCAAACAGACCTCACTGGCATGGGTGACCCTACCAGGAGCAGATGGCAGAGCTCAGTGGTTCATCAGAATTACTGAGCTCTCTCACCACAGCAAGGTGGTGACTGGCAAAAGTTATTATTATTATTATTATTAACAATTTTCTTATTGATTAAATTAAACTCAATTAAATAATTGTTTGCTATTAATTAAACCTAACACCAAATAATAATATACCAAATTTTATTTTCAAACTATTATAATAATTACATGAATAATAAACCAATATGATTTCAGCAAATTATTAAAGATTTTGTTTATTTAAAAGTTTTATTCATTTTTAAATAATAAGTTTTAAATAATTTTTTTACAAAAATATCAAATTATTATTCTCACCTCACTTGTGACTTTCCTCCTTGATCTGCATCCGTAGCTCTAAATGTTGCTAAACTTGTACCTGTTTGAGCATTTTCTTCAACAGTAACTTCAATATTTGCTTTTTGAAATTCAGGCTTATTATCATTAATATCTTGTAAACGGACACGAACTTTAGCATAGTCTACATGATATGCATCTGATGTTTCACCTCCATGATCACTAACCTGAATTGTTATATTGAAGCCATATCGTTGTTGTGGATCCTCAAAATCTAAAGGCTATAAAAATAATATAAATTATGATAATATTTAAAAGAATAAAATAAAGTTTAAGTTAAGTAATCAGTTTCCAATATTATCACAAACCTGATGCTTAGAAATTAAACTATTTTTTAATTATTAAAATAGTAATTAATAGAGTTAATATTAATTAGAAAAATATATATATTGTGATCTAATATATATATGGATGTGTAAGTGTATGTGCATGCACATATGTTTGAAACTAATTTGTTGTTTTTTATTTCAAATTTGATATAAACAAATAATAATACTACAAATCCTCATTTAATGTCATTTTATTATATCATCATCATCATCAAGGAAAGATAGATTTATAATCATTTACAATTATTGTTGTCAAATTTTCTTTATAAATAGTAAAACTGATATGTTTTGCTAGAGATTGTATATATGATCCAATTAAAATAATATTAACTGAATTAATCTTGTTTTATGTTATTTATCTTACAGCAAATTGGTTACATTATATGTTGTTTTCACTTAACATCTCAGTTTCCAAGAACCTATTGATGATGTTAAGCAGAATTTGCTGTATCTTTATTATAATTTTGAATTAACTTAGTAAAAATAAACATATACTTATTCATACTTTGTAAGGAACCAAGTCTGAGCTTTATTTTTATTTTACTTTTATTTTGCTTTCATTATATTTTGTTTGGGGCTTATGTTTAGTTAAGACGAAGGTTTCCTCACCATTCACCTTAGTAANGATGACCAATTAGTGCTTACTGAACCGTAGCACTATGCAAATGTGATGTGGCGTGATTCCCAGCCGACCAATTAGCGATCACCAGCGATAACATTATGCAAATCTGTGATTCCCAAGCCATAGTCTTATGCAAATCATGCCGTGTGGCGTAATTGTCTGCTGACCAATCAGTGGCTGTACTTTCAACCATCTGTCGATGACCGTTACGACTAAAAAAAAACTTCGCTAGGTCTTACTTTCAGGGGGAGGTCTTATATTTCGCAATTCAGCAAAATCTGTGCTAGGTCTTATTTTCTGCGGATGTCTTATTTTCGGGGAAACACGGTATAATATGTATCTAGGCCAGTGATTTTCAACTGGTATGCCACAAAAATTTTTGAAAGAAGCCCAAAGAACAATAAGTTTACATGTCAAAATTAAAATCTCTTTAAACTGATTTTACGAGTTTTTCATTGTTATAACAAACATTTACATAATGTAGTAAAAATATATTCATTCGTAAGCAAAATTATATGTGCATAACACTGAGTTATTTCATTTAAAATGAAATTTTCTTTAAATCAAAAATGTATCTATCTATAAACGTTATGTCCATATTTAAACTTTATGGGGAACCACAATATTAATGTGTAATATACTCTATAAGCCAAACTCTACATTCCTGAAAGGTTTCTCTGGTCATTCAAAAAAATCTAGTTACAACTGATCAAATATCTTTATTTTTTGTTTTCACAAGATGATGACATGCATTTCAGATTGAAATGTAATTAATCCATCTTCAGTGTTAAGTGTATTTTCTCTCTCAAATTATACTAATGTAGATGACATTGGATAATAAAATTATATAACATTACAGTTTTGCTGATCTATTTCAATTCTTCTATAATCACAGAATTATTAGCATTATTATACAATCCACAACAATTAAAATATTACTACATCTCAATAGGTAAACAGTGTAATGAAAACAGACAAGTATAAAATTACCATACTTAATGAACTATTATAAAATTACAATGCATGATGAACTATTATAATAGTTCATCATGCATTTAATTTTATAATAGTTTATTGTAGGGCACATAGGGACCATGTAGGCACATAAGAGTTCAGCTTTGTGGAGGATATTATATATGTCCATAATTACTTTAAATTATTTTAACTGAGAAATAATGGAACACTGGACAAGACAATGTTACTTTCTTTTCTTATGTAAACAAAAATTATTAATTTAAATAACTATTGTTGTAATCTGCTGCTATTTTAAGGAACAACAAAACTGTTTTATTTAATTTACAAAAAGAATTAGCTACTTAACCTTGCCACTTAGGCAAGTAATATGGCAATAGAATTAGAGTTTACAAACACAACTTTAAAATCATGATTTTTCTGCAGAAATTTAATTATAGGTTCATGTGTGCCATCGGATAAAAAAAAGTTAAACACTGATCTTAAAAAACAAAATCCATTTTGATAGCAAAAAACAATACCAATACTAGCAATATATTTATTACAAGTAAAGTGAAAATTTCAATTCTATACTAACCAAATCTGACACTTTCTAAATTTAATTATGCAATATTAATTATTAAATCATTAAGAAAATTAATCTGATTATTTTAAAATTTAACTAGACAAACTCTAATAAAGATTATTTAACTTTAACCTAATAATTTGGCTCTTAAATAACTAAATATATTTGGACTTGAAAATTTTAGCATTTAAACTGAATTATAATCATTTATCTTAATTAATATAGTTAAGATATCATTAGCAAAATTTGTAGTTAAAAGTGTTAGCTGTAGAACTTATTATTTAAACTTTTGAGACAGTGGAAAATACTGATATATGAGATACGTATTTTTTTTTTTGTAAAGCTCTGTTGTTTTTAAACAGAATTTTGACCTAATAACTAAAGAAATATATTCAAATACTAAATTCAGTTTAGCTAATAATATGATTCTCTTTAAAGTAGAATTCTACTCATATAATGAATTTCTTCAGAATAATATAGTTTAAAATTTAGAAATCTTAAAATAATTTGTATAATTTAGTGAAAATTCTTTTAATAGATCAAATTTTACTATAAAAGATTACATTGTAAAAAAAAAACTTCAACTTACAAATCTTTCTCACATGGAATTAAGGAATTAAAAATTTTATGAGTTAACTAATTAAAGGCTTTAATATATTTACTGTAAGCTAACATTGAATGTTTTCATTTTGCAGTTTTATTTTAAGAAATTCATTATACTTTCAATAAACTTTATTTGAATTATATATTTGCAAAATAGAATTTCAAAATATCAATACCTTGGCAATTTTCAATGATCCTGTACCATCAGAATTTGTGACCATTGTAAATTTATCAGCCCCAAATGCACCATCAATCACTTTGTAGCTGAATCGGTTAGTTTCTAAAAGATCTCCATCATTCACTGAAACCACAAGTATTGGTGTTTCTGGAATATCATCACTTTCAGTTTCATCAACTTCAACAAACCATTCCTTTTTAGTAAATTCAGGTGGCATATCATTGATATCTTTAATTTTTATGGTTGCTGTACCAGTTCCTGTTATAATATATAATTATTTTAAATAATTCATGTGATATATAAGATTTAATTTTTACTCAAATGTTAACTTTACCTTTTAAACTACCACCATCCATGGCTACAACTTTTATTGTATATTCAGGATTTGTTTCTCTATCCAAACAACAAACTGCTGTTGATATAACTCCTGTTTCATCATCTATTGTGAAAATTAGTTCTCCATTTTCATTTACTTGATTCTGTTCTATAGAATATCTTAATCTGGCATTGGAACCTTCATTTGGATCATCATAATCAGTTGCAGTCATTGTCATAACTGTCATACCTAAATAAAAATATTTGTAAGTGTAATTTAACGTTATTAAAATTATATGATATGTAATTTAATCTCTACTATTATGATTAATAATATATTAGAAATACTTGTGGATTGACACAAATGCATATTTTATGTTCATTTTTTGTGATTTGATCAGAAAAAGTAAAAAACGAAATGTATCAAATTTCACTTTTCAGATAGACATCAAGTTTGTTTTAACTGGAGAGTGAGAGATGTTGTCCAAGATCAAGATAGAAAAACGTAATTTTGTAAAGGGAAATTAGCAGTAGGGCCAGTATGACTGCCATTCCAAATGTAAACAAGGAAATTTTATTACACTCTGAACAAAATACTTCCATCCAACTTGTAAATGCTTCAAACAACATTTTTGTTTTCTTTTATTCAGTAATATATTTTCTTTAACATGAAACAGCAATTTTTGGCAGAACTGATTATTTTAATTTTATTTTTATATTTTAATACAATGTGATCACACAACTATCAAAAATTGATCATCTTAATTCAAAAACCAATTGCTTGAAACATTAGTATCAAAATTTTGTACTGAGTGTTAAACCAATAATGTTTTTTAGAAAATTTTGGATGGTAATTTTTTTATTAATTAAAATTAAAAACAAAGTACAGTAATACAGATAGGTGGGACCGAGCGATAACTGCGTAAGTCGGGGTATATTTTCGCAATTTGTGTAAAATCCAAATCTGATGTATGTAAGCTAATAAATGTTCTCGTTAACCTTATCTCGCCTTTTGATTCGTTCACGGTTACAAGAAATCACCACATAGAGTCTCTCAAGTATCCGTAGATATAACAAACACAGAAATAAATAACACAAAATAAATTGTAGCTATGCGTCGATTCCGCACGGCACGTCCGAACATGTAAGCTAAACAATAGTGTGGGGGGGAGTGAGTAATCAAGAGTTGTGTGGCATTCAAACAAAAGACAAATCGATGAGATTTGAAAATCACGTAACTCCGGGTTCACGTAAGTCAGGGTAGCGTAAGTCGCGGTATTACTGTACATCAAAAAAGATCACCTTTTGTTGCCAAATGATCTGCTGAATTATTGAGCTATTTTCGGGCTATGTCAATGACTACTTACTAATTAATTTGACTAGAAGTAGGCAGATATGCCATCGTCTCATATAAATTTTAATAATTATAATAAATTAATTTTTAATTTAGGAATTTCTGGAAAAAAGACAATCAGGCCAGAGTGAGACTTGAACCAGTAGATGCATAAGTAACAACACATCTGCATGGTAAGCAGAACCAGTAACTTCTGCTTACCATGCAGATGCGTTGTTACTTATGCATCTTTTCTTTTAGATTACTTGGTCACCAAAAAATTTTGAATACTCTCAAAACACAAAAAATATCCAATAAAAGATGAGCAATTATTTATTGTGACATCATCACAATGCTAGGCTGCAATTTTTAAACATATTTTTAATTTATTTAATTTAAAATATATGCTCTCCACCTCAAATTAGTAAGGTCTTGCCTCTCTATATCATACTTTTGCTGTTAGCAAAGTCTGTGTTGACTAGCACGAATCTATTGCTAACAGGAAAAGTATAACTCCTTTCAGGGAAAAATTTTTGAATGAAAATAACATGACTTCTTCTTCAATCTGGAAGTTTGTATAGAACCTCCTGCCCATGAGCTTTCTATATCTGGTCTTGGTTCATCTATCTAACTACATCCTCAAGATTAAGGACAGACAGACAGACGGATGACAGTGGGAATTTATGTCTACAATTTTTTCAAATTTCAGCACAATAAAATTTTTAAAAATTGGAGTGGAAACAAAAAAAGTCTTCTTGCTTCACCAACCATACTGCATTGAAATCATACTGTTGCTTGAACCTTTTATACATTGAAAGACGTGATGGTAGATTTCAAGCTGTCCCCTAACTAAATGCTTATAAAATATTTTTTGGAAAAACAACTGTTTTACTAACAAGTTTTCTTACATGTAAAAAGCAGAATTTACAAGAGAAGATAAAGCTGCTTTTTCTGTAAGAAAAAGCAGCTTTACAGGATGCACTGCACAGAATCTGATATTCAAAGAAATATTTACAGAAAAACCTGTTTCAGAGAGACTCCAAAACTCCAAAATAGCATTGTAAAGAAATTGGTGTAAATTAATTTATTTATTTATTGGTAAAATTTTAAATTCTGTAAAAAATATTACTTTATGTCTTCAGGAAAATGCTAATGACTTAATTTCTAGAGAAAAATGAAGAACTGAAACTAGTTGAAGTATCTAAAATAACATTTTCTTTTTTCCAGCAACAATATTTAATAATTCGACAAATCTTTTTGTTCTGATTTATAGGGAAACCAACATCAAGCTAATAATAATGTATATTGCATTCTATTCAATGTTCCAAAATAGAATACAATATACTGTATGTTATTATTGACTTGATGTTGGCCTGTCTGTAAATCAGGCCAATAATAATATTGGCTTTAACTATAAATATTAATTATTATTGCTGGAAAGAAAAAAAGGTCATTTTTGAAAGCTTTTTCATCATCTCTCATAATTCCATGAAGATTGCTTGAAATAATAAAATTGTTATTCTTAATCTTTTAAAACAGTGACTTTTTATGAGGAAGAAATTAGTCAGCATATTCAGTGTAATTAATTAAATGCGAAATAATTACTAATAAATAATACTAGTGTAGCCTCATAATTCAAGTCATTTGGCTTTAACTGTAAATCAGGTTTGTGAGTAGATGTTTATATAATATATAAACATCTACTCATTTGTTACAAGGCAAAATTACCCTGATTATAATATAATCAGGGTAATTACCCTGATTATAATATAATCAGGGTAATTTTGCCTTGTAATAAATGACAGTGAATGTGTTAAGATTACACTTCTATAAAATAATTGGTTTTGGAGTTTATTATTTTTATATAAAATGCTGATCCATTATACAAGTTTTATTATGTTAAGAAAACTTTGCCCAAAACTGAAACAGAAACGAATGATTTATAGACACTAGACTATTTTCAGTCTCAACTATTGCAAAGCATCACTTTATATACAAATTTTTGAGTAAAATATGGACTATTAATTTCTGTTTTTAGTATTGAAAGAGTAACCAAATATATTTCTATTAATATAATTGATAAAACTGAGAACATATGCATACTTTAGTTTGTCTATGGAAAAAATTAACTTGAAGGCAACATCAAGCATGATGTCACTTCAGTTAGACCAATCACCACATTCCCTAATGATGTTAGCACTTTTGGCTTAATATGTCAAGCAATATGTGAAGTTTATATTTTCACTCACTCGGTGGCAGAACAGCTTTTCTGTTAATTGTGTTAAATTTTTACAGCATTCATTAACTGTAAAGTATCATATGTTTAACTACTGCTATAGCAAACTTCTTTGTATTTCAATGCCATGATATGAAGCTTCCATAACACTATTTATAATGATGGTGACATGTTTAACAAATGAGGAAGAAACCTGAAGTAACTTGCTACAACTAAGTGATCAATGGTTGATGCTCATTGGTTAATATCCAAGTTGATTTTGATTCTTTCCATAGACAGACTGTATATAACTTATTAGATAACATTTGAATAATAATACATTACATCACAACTGATCTAATTATTAATAATTATCTGTACTTACTTTTAATTTTAAAATTAATTAATTTGTTAATTAAAAACTAAAAATAACAATAAGCATGTCCAAGTAATTTAGATGGGGAATACTTAAAAATAAAAATTATGGATTCATCCTATCTAGAGTCAAACTTTTTTCTTTTAAAATAATATTTTAGGATATACAGAGTGTCCAAAAAGTTACTGTGAAGTGGAAAAAGCTTCTTAAGTTTTAAAAGAAGTTTTACATACAATATTTCAGTTATTTTCTTATTTTCTACAGCAAATACTGGAAATTCCCAGAGGCCCAAAAATCCAGGGAGTGAGGTCCAGAGACCTAGCAGGACAGATCCCATGGGAGATTATGCAATTGGCAAAGAAGTCTTCCAAAAATCAGAACATCTGTGAACAAGTAGTAATGACATTACTACAAAGCAGAAATATGGGACATACAACTTACAGGTCTGATAAGTAATGCCATAGATATAACTTTAATGTCATTGCAAATTTTTCAGTGCACAGTAACTTTTAGGACACCTTATAAATTTTATATACCTTTGTTGTTTATGTATTAATTATCAATGATAAAATACTCCAAGTTTTATATTAATTTTATTTTTTGATTTGTTAGACATTCTTCAACCAAATCTTAAAATAATTAATAAGCTGATGGAACCACACAAATTAAGATGCTATCTACTTATTTATACTGTAAACAATGCATAACTAATTAAAAAAGTTTTTCTCAATCATTAAAAGAAGCAATTTAAAATATTTGGCTGAAAGATGTTTAACTTATCAATTATTAATGGAAAGACTTAATAATTTACATAATTAATCCCCTTACTTTTTCAAACAACAAATATAAAAATATATTAAATATCCCATACCTGCTGTGCCATTTTCAGTAACATTTCCTGTATAAATAGCATATGGAAAGAAAGGTGCATTGTCATTTATATCTTTTAAGTTTACTAACACATCAGCATAACCAACAAGACCATTTCCTCCTTCATCATCTGCAAATACTGTGAATCTCCATTGAGATCTGCCATGAGGAAGATCACGATCTAATGGTTTCAGTACATAAATTTCACCAGTGGTACTATTAATAGCAAATTTACTATTTGCCATTTCTTGATCAACACCTTGACCAGTTAAAAAATATACTATATCAGAATGTCTATCCCTATCTCCATCAGTTGCAGTTACCTATAAGAACATTCAAATTTTAATTATTATTTAAAATGAAATAAAAATTTTAACATAGAAATAAAATGTTATAGTTTATTATGAAAATAACACATTTAACTAATTAATAATGATTTTTATTATAAATAATTAAGCACATAATAAATTAAAATGTGTTCATGCTCATGCAATAAAGCACAAATTTGTTTTCTCAAATACTCTTAATATGTAATATTTAAAATATTACCTGAGTTATAAAATTTTCCAAAATAAACATCAGTAATAGAAGAAACTGAAGATAAAGGAGTGTGTTACAGAAAGATACAGAAATTGGTTTGAATTCAAAGCCAATTTCCAATTTTAATTTATCTGATTAAAATAAAAATGTTATAATTACATTGTGAAAATAGTAGTAGTAGTTATTAATTTGATTTTCAATTCAAACAACAATATATGTCAAAATTATACAGTAAGATTCAACACTTAAATTTCTTTTGAATAACAAAAATCTTGGTCTTCATAGATAATTTTGATATATTTCAAAAACCATTAAAATTTTTCAGTTATATATTTATCTTTCATCAGTTTTAGGTTTGGATCAACTAATAAACAAAAATTCANTTTCAGGTGGCAGTAAAATATGGTTGGATTTAATAAAATTCCACATAACTGATGTTATACAGAAATTTTCTTATAGTATATTACAATTTGTACACTGCATCAATTTACCATCCTTGACATTTTTAAAATGAATAGGATCAACTAATATAATAGAATTACACACAAAGTTTGTCATCTATTAGATTCCTTTTAGTAACTACTCGAGGCTACCTCGATAAATATTACTCGCATCTCTAAGAATGTTTGTATCCCTTGACAGATGCATTGAAAATAATTTAATATTAAGCATACATATATAAATAGCAACTTTTTGAAATAAAAATTTCAATATCTTTTAAACAGAATAAAATAATTATTTTGTCTAACCTTCCTTCATCAAATTTCAAGTTTAATTCTTCATTAATTTATAAATTAAACATGTAATGTGTTAATAAACAATTTTTCTGGTCAATTTGTCAAAAATGCATTACCCCCAACTTATATTATGCATTAATAATAGGAATAGCTGTCAAAAGTTGATACATACAGTATATAATGTAACTTGAACAGCAATATCTACAACCATGTTTATAAAATTCTACTGTTAGAATTGTAAAAAGCAGTTAATATATATATGTGTATTCTTGGCTTAACTATAGAATTTTGAAACTACATTCTTAAAAATATTTTAATATTTATTCCTTTTTTTACACTTGTAACATTTAATGAAGTTTGAAGATTTTTAATGTTATTAATCCAAGACAAGAAGAACTTTCAAACTAATATTCTTCTTATCGTTACTAATTAATGTTCTATGTAATAATTCTTCAGATGCTTACATTACTTATTTTTAAAATTAGAATACAGGAATTGTTCTAGTATTACATATAATATTTATTATTTTGAATAATGCAATATTTTATTGAATTATAATAATTCTGTAAGATTAAATATGTTAATATAAGCCAAAAAAGATAAAACTATAAAATACAATTTCACTTTTAAGCATTTTTTGGCAGATAATGTAGAAAATTAAATGAAATTTTCTAGTTTGTCAGTACAGATAATGAACAAGATTACTTCCAATCTTGACAAAAAAAAGTAAATAATGAGAAATTTATTATTATTATTTGAAAAGTTAAAAAGCAGGGCTGTGGAGTCAGAGTCGTGGAGTTTTGGTGTTTTAGCCGGAGTTCGAGTCGTCAAAAAAATCCGCCAACTCCGACTCCTTTTTACTTACCAACTTGTTATGTATATAAAATGGAAAAGTATTGGAATCGTGTCAAATTTGACTCTCCAAGTTTTTTTTTTTTTTTTTACAAATCTACATGTTTGGAGACCTCCCAAACCACTCAAAAAAAGTCAACAAAAGAGGAAAAATTTGCACGTGCATGTGTGTTGGCGTCTAATTTGTTTAATTTCTTTATTTTCTGTTCTGAGATATTAAACAATATCTCAGAATAGGTAAAGTTTAAGAAACGAAATGTGACACTGTAGCTTGCGTATAAAGGGGCATTAATACTATTAAATTTTGGTTCTTAATTAAAGGTCGACAGGGTGAAGACATAAAAGGGGTCATGTGTCATATCTCTTAATGAATATTTTACTCGTTATTAGCGTTCAAAATTTAAAAAAATAAAATAAAACTCGTCTCTACCCTCAAAGTAAGCTTTTTTTTTGTCATTTTATAATAGTACAGTAAACCGTTAAGATGTTCTCGCCTAAGATGTTAGAATGTGTATGGGGACACGATTTAATTCAACCACTTTGACGCTTAATAACTAACTCCTGTGTTAAACCATCGGACTCCGATTCCGACTACTTTGACCACAGAAATTATTAGGCTTCAAATAAGGTGAACAAAATCATGCCCCACCACACAGTCTAACATCTACACATATAGAAAAAATTCTTGAATCTTTTGCTTAATTAACTCGAAATTTCAAGGTGTTCTGAGTCCAAAAATGTAAAAATTTAGGAGGGGTCATTTTTTGACCGAGCACTACACTTTGTTATATATCCTCTGTTATATATAACAGCCGGAAAAGTAAAAATTATCGAATACATATTTACATATTACTTAGAGGAGTCTTTTAGCTTTGAAATAAAAAGTTTCTACGTTCTATCTTTATTAGAACTCTATTTATTGAATCTTTTATTCTGAGGTAACATGATGACATCAGAATTTTTGGGTCTCTTTCAATAACAAGTCCGCCCCTGGTCGGAGTCAGATGGTAAGGAAAAGTCGGAGTCAGTAGATTTTTACGCGACTCCACAGCCCTGATAAAAAGAAAGTTTAAGACATTCTTCCTTTATAGACAAATTACTTCAACTTTACAGTTGAAATATACATAGCAGAATGTTCTAAGTAATGCTGGCAATAAAACAATGGTAAACCATGGATTCAGAAAAAGATGAAAATTAATTTTGAACAGGCAATGAATCAGCATCACTATTATGGTATTATTTTGTTTACTTGCATTTCCTGACTTTCAGGTGGCAGTAAAATATGGTTGGATTTAATAAAATTCCACATAACTGATGTTATACAGAAATTTTCTTATAGTATATTACAATTTGTACACTGCATCAATTTACCATCCTTGACATTTTTAAAGTAATGCAACATATCAATCATGCTTAAATTTAAAAATTAAAATTAATGTGAAAGCCAGCAGAAATTATCTTAAAATGATAAAGTTTTCGAATGCTAATTGTTAAATACTCAGACTCCACTATTTATGATCATCAAAAAAAATTATCTCTGATGAGAAAAAAAACATGATGCAGGTATATTCATAAATCTCAACTAATAAGAGTGTATTTACTGTAGTAATTTATTATGGTAGTAAGTAGTATGGGAATTAATTCAATATAATTAATAAAACATTAATTCCAGTTTTTTTCAAGACTAGTTTTAACTTATTATGCTAGGTATACTTCAACTACATTAAGATACAATTATTATTAATTATTGTTTTGTTATATTCAGTGTTCTAGATGCTAGCTGTATTTCTGATTTTGATTTTTATTATTATTTTCTATAATTTCTTTATTATTAATTATTTTTACTTCCTGTTTTCTGAATATATCTAACATTTTTCATCGAAAGCTAAAATTATAGTAATTTTGTGCAAAAATATTGTCTGAAGAAGCTGTAAAATTACAAACAAATAATATATCTTTCTTTGATTAAAATACTTATACCTTTATCATGTTTTTTATGAAGTTCCCTAGCATCACCTTTACTTTATGTATTAAAATAAAATCATTGACATATATAAGATGCTTTTTTTCCTTTGAAAAAAAATCAAGCAATGTACTATTTACAAGTATTTATTATCATTATTTCTTTTTTAGTTTTCAAAGTGTTCTAGATTTAAATGTTAAATTGAAGCAGAGACAACAATGTTTGTAGAATTTTGTTTTGTGAGTTTAAACTACATCATAAAATATGACAAGTAATTCAAAACATTAACCAAGCATAAGTCAACAACACTGATAATGAACACAGTGAAATGTTCATTTCAAAACTTAAATAGGAAGCAGATTTCAATCGTGATAATAATAATCTGATAACAGCATATGAAAAGTAATAGACAAAACTGATTAAAGAAAAATTAGTTTATTCAAGAGTTTCCAAACAACTAGACAAAATAAAAAGTTTGACAAATGAGTTCATTATGAATTGAATGAATAATAATAAATTTACTGATTACATTATATGCTCTTTGTTTGCCATAGGAACATAAACAGGGATCGCACTGATAATGCCAAAAATCACCACTTTGCAATAAAACCTTCATCCAGTTATTTCTATAATCAAAGTGAAATTGAATCACAAAGCACACTTCATAAAAAACAGCAGAATGTCAAACTCATGTGTCATTGGTTTCTTGTGTACTACATACATAGCATTGACATGATGCAGTGAGTTTGGATAGGATAGCAGGAAGTGACATTGAGAACCAAAGACAGTTTTTGTGCAATGCCACCCAGCATTTCCAGATTGGGGATTTTTTATTGAATGACAGAAAATTTGGGGAATTTTTTGGGATAACCTGTTTTTCACTTTAATTGTTTTTTTTTTTTTAAGTAGACCAAACCATAAAAATTTTGGCATGACAGAACATCCAAAAAAAGGTGTTTAAAAAAGTGATCAAATGTGTTATTCAAAATTATTCACTAAAAAATGATTCAAAAATGATTCCAATTTCTAAATGACAGCTTAACATGTTACTTTTGCTTTCCAGACTCCAAACTGATAAGGATACCATCACTTGCATTAATTATTAAGTAAAACTGGTGGCAATAAATAATTTGAAGTAGTTAAAATTTTAAAACTGGCAAAAAAAATGGTTGAAAATTTTTAAAAATATTTCAGAGCGATCCCTGCAAAAGTGATCAATTTCTTGATCAAATTACTATGAGCAACAAAAATACATTTTTTATTGTTGTAAAATATGATCAGTACAATTGTTTGACAGATAAAGTATTGAAATATACTAAAGCCTTATCTTTCTTTCAAGAAAGATCTCTATTGTTTACTGCAAATGTTAAATTTTCCAGAACCAAGTCAAATTATCAAGTATCAAGACAGAAAAATACCTAAAATTAAGTTACACTATTTTTTTTAAAGTAACTCAATTAAATAATCAGAAAATTTAATATGAAATATATTCAAGACATTTGTTAAAAACACTTTATTCTGGATAAATTTATTTTTCATTTGCATTCATATTATCAAGTTTTAAAATAAGAAAGGAAGATGATTTGGTTTCAAATTTATTATAAAGAATTTGTAAAAATAATTATTTATTTATTATAATTTTGAAAATTTATAAATACTATATTGTGAGATTTAAAATAATTTTTTAATAGAGTATAATATACAAATAAAAGCTATAGTTAAAATAGCTTCATATATCCTTAACTATTTTCACTTTACTTATCTAAATTTTTAATTTATTCTAATTAATTATTATTAAACTAATTAAAAATTTGTATTTGTAGAAAATATAAGTAATATTTTGTCTTAATTGATTTAATCAATTTTAATATTTTATAATTCTTATATATCAACTAAATTAAAGTATTATAGATGATTTCTAAATACAATATTTTTATACCTTTAAAATCTTTTTTGGTAAACCTTGAGAATCTTCTTCAAAAATTTCTGTTTCATATGTAGATTGATCAAATTTTGGAGGCAAGTCGTTGATATCTTTAACTCTTATGATTACTCTAGTGTTGTTTTCATATAGAGTATCTGAGGCCACAAGTGTAAGGTTATACTAGGAAAAAATAAAACATACATGCAAATAACATGCCAATAAGTAAAATACTTAAAAAAAATAAACAATAAAGTTAACATAGCATGCAGATGCATTAAGGGAAACAAACAATAGGAATTACAGCCAACAAAAATATCTTCATCTACTAATTGTAAAAAGAAACAAAATTTTCATAAATTGTAGATTAAAGGTCAAATATGACCTGTAGAACACGCTTGGGAAGATTCCTGTCATCTTCTTCAGTTATCTGTGTCTCATAAGTGGGACGATCAAACAAAGGTGGATTATCATTCACATCTTTCACATGGATAACCACAGTTGTGTGGTTTTCATTAAGATTATCAGAGGCAACCAAGCGAAGTTTGTACTACAATAGAAAATATCACATTTGATAAAGAACTGACAGAATGAGAATTAATGGGAATAGAAAAACCAGAAAATCTGAATAACAAAGTTTTATAATTATTAATTCTGAACATTTCAAGATAAAAATATCTGTAAAAAATTTAGATAATTTTCTAAATTCTTTAAAACAGAAAACATTTTCAATAGTTCAATTGATAAAAAAAAAGAAAAAAAAATTATTAAAATAGTAAAATTTTTCTAACAACATATCTAGAAACAGAACAACTCTCAATGTAATATTTTAAAACAGCAAGTTTTTAGAATAGTTTTTTAAAAATTTTTGTAAATTGAATGATATTTTATGTTTCTTAGTCTACTTTTAATTTTTTTAATTTGTTTAAAATTTTAAATATTTAAAAATGATAATTTTATAATTTATTCTTATATCTTAAACATTTGTTCTCGTTCCATTTGACTCGCACCTCAAATGGTGTGAGTCAAATGGAACGAGAACAAATGTTTAAGATCATAATAATACTGTTTTTGTTGGTCAAATTTGAATATCCAGTTGAGTTAAATATAAAGGAAAACCTGAAAATTAATATACAAAAATACCTGCTGAGGAAGGACAAATGTGTCTGAAATGCAAAATTATGTGTGTGTCCAGGTATATTGAATAAAATAAAAAATTGTTTTCTGTAAAACTTTGTAGCATTATCTGTAAAGCCAGCATAAAAAATCCTGATAATATAAGATATGAAATTATAGATGGAAATTTATATTTTAATATTATATAATTGTTTGTTAATATAAGTTAAGGCCTATATAAAAATAGACATATAATACCAAGCTGAAAAATTCTTTATTAAAAGAACTAGATAAACTAGATAATAAATTTATTGGATTAAACTAGAAGAAATGAAACTTCTGAAAATGTCCAAATTGGTGATATTATTCTAAAAAGTTCTTTTGCATGCCATGGTAGATAATCATTTATTCATATACTTGTATTTTATCATCTTTTTTAATGAAGAAAAAGAAAATACATGAAAGAACTCTTAAAAACAAATATATCTATACAACCAATAAATAATATTTTTGAATTGTTTTACATGGAAAAACATTTAATCTTAATAAAGTTTGGACTCTGTTTTGTTTTTTTTTTAAATCTTCAAATTACTTTAATTTTAGTAGGAATAGAGTCAAACATGTCTCAACAGTCTACAGTTTCATTTAATATGAAACTCCATACACTCTCATATAGTTTAATTTGTTGGAAGTTGATTCAATACAAAGAAAAATTTACAGGTACTCAGTGAATTTGTTTATGTCTGCTTAAATTACAATAAGTAGATTCCATTGTATATCACTTTACATTCACTTGTATTAATTAATAACATAATTGATAACATCAAGTGCACTGAATAAATAAGACTATGATTAAAGGAATTAAAAATGTAACTTAACAATATAATTAATAAATCTTAATTATTAATTAGTACTAAATCGTCCAGTATTGTTTGCCTACTCTGAAATTCCATCTTTAACAGTTAATATATAATTGAAGCAAATAACAAACTACTGTACTGCAAATGATTAAAGCAATGTTTAATATTTAAGGCACTTGTTAAGACTGATAACAATAACTAAATGATTGTACATTATCAGCCATATGTTGAGGTTGTTAATGTACAATCATTTTATAAACTATAACCACAATTCAGATTACAATAAACTAAGTTTTATGAGTATTTTAACTTGTATTTTCAGACATTCTAATTTTGTTATTATTAAATAAAAAATGATACAGTGAACCTGGTTAACTGTAATCAGTCAGGGAAAAAAATTTGAACTTCCAGTTAAAGTTTTGAGTTATGGAGGTTTAGGTAAAAATCAAGATTTTATGCATTGGTTTATTGGTGACCCATAATAAACTATCCACATGATATTTCTGTGAGTCTTTTTATATAGAACTAGCTGTTACCCGCGACTTTGTCCGCAGAGGTTTTGCAAGCAAACCCCATTTACATTCAATATTTCAATAACCATAGTAATTGTTATATAACACCTACCGCTGAAGAGAATTGCCGAGAATCAAACGAACTATTTTCAATTTGATCAATTTTCTGGAACGTTTACAATCGTTCTATAATCGAACAAATATGCAATAACAAATTCGAATTTAAAACGGTTCGAACATTTTTTAAATCGAAATAGATAAAAATATTTATAACAGTGTCTGAAATGTTATCAATTTAATACACTCAATGAAGACTAAACTTCGTTGAAAACAAAAAATCGCATCTAAAATAGTACAGTAGAAGCTGTTTTTCCGGTTAACCCTTAATGCTCTCTCTCTCCCCCCACTTGGGAATTTCGAAAAATCCCTTCTTAGTGTGCGTTTTCATGACGTACCCTAACTGTGTACCAAATTTCACCTCTCTAGGTCCAGCGGTTTGCTCTGAGCGATGATGAATCAATGAGTCATTCAGTCAGTCAGGACAAGCAATTTTATATAGATAGATTGTTGTGTCAATGTAAACCTTTCAATGTTGTCCAGAAACTCAAAAATGCTTACAAAATGATTAAGTAAGCTATTGAGAAATGCTTTCTTGAATGATTGATCTGTTCACTTCTGTGTGTTTAGTAACGATTTTTTAATTGTGATATTTTGCACCTAGAATCACTCTGTTTATTTTTTAATCACAATAAACCTCTTTACAATTGTTATATTTTTAAAATTTTGCCATAAAGGTTAAAATTTTTACATAGAATCAGACTATAACCATTTATTAAAATTAATTTATCAAAATTCATTTATCTACTATGTCAGCTAGTCAGGGAATCCATCAGAAATCAAACAATAAAACAAATAAAAAAATGTTAAAAAAAAAAAAAAGCAGGTTTGAATGGCAGTTACACTGTCTAGATCACACACACTGTCCGGAAAACACCCGCCACCCACCATCACATGAAACAATGTTTATTTTTAGTTGTACATGGTTCCCGCATTTAATAAAAAGATGCTGATTATTTTATTTTATAGATGAACATTAATTATTTTATTTAACAGAAAATTAAAACTCCAGAAAGTTTATGAAAATACTATATCAAAACCGCCATTTGAGTTAAACAGTTTGATTTAACATGTAGTAAATCCCTATGCTAGATGATTGGGGAAAGAAAATGACCGAATAATCTCGGTTTGAGTTAACCAGGTTCCACTGTAATATCTGATCATCATAAGTGAATTCTACTACGTATATTTTTTATTTTAAATGGGAAAAAATGTGGTAGCACCTCTTTTCAACGAAAACACTTAAGAGCCAATAATAATAATAGTACAATGCTAAAATAAAAGGAGTCCAAGATTTATTTAAAATTAACCCATATCTATGGATATAGCTAATAAACTCTGGAGTCACACTATAACTACTGTCCAACCTGTATGAGGAGATTCACCTTTTGTAACAGCTGGTACAAAAAGTCAAACTATTGTGCTAATAATGATGTATCTCCATTATATATGATACTATTATTATTATTTCTCATATTTAATTTTATTTTACTTGTTCCTGATTTATTTTTTTAATATTCTTCCATGTATTCAAACATTTAGATGACTTGTTTGGCACTTCTAAATATCACTTTGACAGTTTTGTTCCAAACTTGGTAAAACCTGATAATAGGATGCTTGGTGCAAAACATATTTAATCTCAGTTAAATCTTGGACTCCATTTATTTTATTATTGTACTATTCTTCTTAATCCATGAAACTGTGTAATTTGCTAAAATCTAAGAGGCAATATGTCTACATTATTAACATTGCTTTTAATGTTGTCATTTACATACTATGATACAAAGCAATTATTAATAGAAAATTTATTTTATATAATTTAAGTAAAAACAAGCTAAAATCATTTAATATGGCTACTGTCAGAGTATGTTTTTATAATAAATATATAAATTAAAAATTCTTGTATCATTTAAGAATTAGATTGACAATAATAATTGTTTTTTGAATCTCTCTAATTATCCTTCATCAATATTTCTATAGTTCAGTTAAAATATAATTTGTTACATTCATACAATCATTTTTTTTTACTATACATTACACATTAAGTCAATTTTGTATAGTTTAGAAAAGAATGTAATTGATCTGCATTATAGAAATTTCTAGTAGTCTTATCTTTTTTATATTTCATGTAGTTACTAAGAAATGATGAGAGTATTTAAAATGCCAAACTGCTACATTCAGGAAACTAAAATTATTATTTAAGTAATACTTTTGCCATTCTATGGATATTCTCAGCTTGCAATGAATACAAATGAATGATGTATAATACAAATTTAAAATTGATTTATTACATTACAATACAATTACCATAAAACATAAATTTAAATAAATTTTTTTTATAAGAAATATTTTAAGATCTAAGTTATAATAGAAATAACATTATAAAATTAAGAAAACTAACTAAACATATATAAAACTAACTGGAATATAATTAACATTATGAAATTTAACAAAGGTAACTTAAGACTTTTTAAGTGAAGATAAAAATTTAAATTAGAAAAGAAGAGAGTTTAATAAATTGATATTATTTAACACTGAGTGATTCTAATTTCCTGAACATAGCAGTTCAAATCATAATATGGTGCAAATTTTATAATAAAAATGTGTTTGGTTATGATAAGAAATTTATAAAATATTTTAACAATATTTAACAACAATAACTTTCAATGTTGAAATTAATTGCATTTATTGTCATTTCTGATATTTTCCATTCATAACTGATTTGATATAATAATACAAGTAACTTTTTCACTCATTTTTGTTGTAAAATAGACTAGCAATCTTGAAGGATTGTGTATGTATACAGTTGTTATTATTTGATATTTAATTCAATGTTATATTCATAAGTGTTCTCTCATTTTCTAAGAGTATATTCTTCATGTCAAAATCTTTTTAAACATTCGATAATATTTTACCTCTCTTATTCATGGTTTCACCAACTGCAATTTCAGTTATCTACAGCTAGAGCTTATTCTGTGTGTAGTGTCTTTGCAATCCAAACAATAATTTTGGTAGACAATCAAACAGCAATTAGTTAGAAAACATTATGGTTTACTTAAAACACTTTTTTAATTCAGATGCATTTCGGGTTGGCTTGTATTCCAAACCCCTCTTCAGTGCTGTTAAAATTACAAAAAACAAGGTGAGTTTCACGACATTGGTAAGTAGGACGTAACAAAAATGCAGGGTGACAATAACATAAAAAACTTACATGTTATATAATGGTACAGCATAGACTTGTACCATTGTTTGGATTGCAAAGATGCTACACACAGAATTTGAATATACAGCAACCACGTCTTCTACATTAAGAAGCTTGATTTATATTAAGTAATAAAAAAAAACCCAGCAAAAATTAGAAACTCTTGAATTTCATATATACTTGCTTGTCTTGAATAAATAATATAGAAATATTGAATTACTGTGTATTAAGATTATACAGTAGATGCCAAAATGACAATACATAATGTCATATTCAATCACCCTATTCAAAAGCATAAACTCCAGCAAAAAATCCTTTACTTACACAAATGTTTTTGTCCACATTCCATTGGACATCATCAGGCTGTAGAATTGGAATGTCTGACAGGGAGCAACTCTGTTACCTTGAATTGCTTGAAATTAACAAGGCAACATTGTATAAGAAGGCAATCAACGAAATTTTTCCTCCACCAGCCATAAACCATGGAAGAAACAGTTCCCACAAGAACTTATGGGAACTGTTTCCTCCAATCAGCAACTGCCCAGATTGGAAATGTCTTCAATCAACAAACAACAACACATTGGATTGAAATATTCAAACATTGAGGCTCCATTATTCAATTCTACGGCGTGATACTGTCCAATGGAATGTGGACAAAAACATTTGCATAAGTAAAGGATTTTTTGCTGAAGTTTAGGCTTTTAAATANAACACATTGGATTGAAATATTCAAACATTGAGGCTCCATTATTCAATTCTACGGCGTGATACTGTCCAATGGAATGTGGACAAAAACATTTGCATAAGTAAAGGATTTTTTGCTGAAGTTTAGGCTTTTAAATAGGGTGATTGAATATAATATATCCAGCATTTAGATGCCATCTATTACATAATGCCATATATAAATATATAGAGCATTACTTATTTTGTAAAAAGAATTTTTTAGAATCCATCTCATTAACATTTTAATAATTGCATAAATTTTTCTAGTAATATAGTTAAAGTATTTTCTGTTTTATGCTACTATTTCATTAAAATATTTTTAAATAATTTAATATTTCTAAAGTGAACATAGTTATTTAACGCCTCATAGTCTGAAGTTTCTTAATGAAGTTTTTGATTAAATTTCTAAAGTGAATAATATATTCATGAATTAATTTAATTAGGTACTTGATATATAAAATATAATCTTAAAATTATAATATAAAGAAATTTACCATTTTGCGAGTTTCATAATCAAGTGGACCAGCCACATAAATAGCACCTGTTTCATTTCTTACAGCAAAAGCTCCACCTATATTTCCTTGAGTGATCTCATAACGTATTCTTGATGCTAAACAGAAATCAATTTGTATTAGATTTATTTATTTTATCATTACCTGTTTTAAATTAGTCATTTGCTTTACAAATAATTCATTATGAGGCATAATTTTAAGTTGGATCAATTTAAAAATCAATATTTTTGGATAGAATGTATAAATTATAATTGTACAGCTACATTTCAAAATAATGAATTATTATAATTATGAAAGCACATTTGTTATTTCACGAATTAACACTATACAGTAATCCCTCCATTTATGCAAATAATTTATTCCATGCGTGTGCATAAATGAAAACCATTTAAATGGAGCTATGGAAAGCTGTTTAAAATAGGAATCTGTTCCATATTCTCAAATAGAGTATTTTACTTTTAGTGGAGTAGAAAAATTTTTAACTGATGTGTTTTTTAAATATATATCTATAAAGAGATTATTTATTTAGAGGNTTTATCATTGCGATAATCTGATAAATTTTTGCTAATTTACAAATGTTTGTGTTCAGGAGAAAATGTTTGTTAGAAAACCAATTCTAAAATTCTGTTAAATAATATAAAAACAATCAATATTGTTGTTTATGTCTGTTTCAGGTTCCTGCAGCCTGGTTGACCCTATTTGATATCGTATTTTTACTCATTTTTATACCATTGATGGACCGCATCATCTATCCTTGTTTGGATCGCCGCGGTAAAAAGATTCCGCTTCTGTGCCGCATAAGCCTTGGAATGTTCTGTGCTGTCATATCCATGACCGGGGCCGGAATATTAGAAGGAGTTCGGCTAGACCTTGTCCACGAGTAAGAGTAACTTTTAGTATTTACTTATTTTTAATTCTGTCAAATTTCACTACAAGAAGTAATGCAGTAGAATTACTTCTAGTACATTATATAGGGATATTATCATCTCTGATAGAATTATATCTCTGATTGCATGACATAAAATTTGAAATTTTGAATGTCATTACATGCCTAAAGTAGCTCTCTTATTCTTGAATTCATATTGACCAATCAAATCTTGGCACTTTAAAATCAATATTTTTCAAATTTGATTTGAAATTTTCAAAATTTAATGAACAGATCTGTGATTCGACAACTTACTGAATTATTAGACAGTGAGATTTATGAGTTCATCTATATATATCTCCTTATTTTAAACTAAACATTCATACTATATAAATTTCGCTTTAAAGTTTGAATTGCATGTTGACATTTTCATTGCCAATAGTGACCAATTAATTGGTGTATCGATCATTTTCAGTCCAAAGCAGATAGAAATGGCAATTAAGAGAGAGTAAAGATTTTGTCAATAGCAGAAAATATATCTGCCAAAAAGATCGTGGACAATAGCAAAAAGAAAATATCAGGAGTAGCAAAAGGAACCTGACAGTCCTTTTAAACACACTTGCTGTATATCTAAAAAATGAGGAGAGGATTTTGGAAAGCTTTAATGAACAATAGAATCAGATAGAACAGAAAATAAAGCATGAATGTGAGTATGCAGATACTGAAAATGCATGCCATAATGGTTTGTACAGTGTAAAGACTAGCAGTTTTCAATCAGAATTATTATTAACAGAAAAAAAAAAGTTGAACAATTTGGATAACAGTTGGGCCATACAGATTCTTAGCAAGCAGCAGGTGGCTGGATAAATTTAAGATGAGGGCAAAGTTTTCAATAAAATCTGTGGTGAAAGTGCAGAAGTACAAGATGGAAATTGTAAAAAGTAGTTTAGAAGACTACCAGAAATTTTACAGAACTATAGTCCAGATGATGCTCTCAATGCACACAAAAGGCAGGCTTATTTTTTATCTATCTACCAGACAAAACAATCACATTTAAAGTTGATTCATGTCACAGAAGCAAAAACAAACTTTCTTTGGATGTAAACATGACAAATAATTGAAAGAAACTACCATTCTTGTTAATTAGAAAATCTTTAAAGCCTTGATGTTTTTACAATGCCAAGGTGTTAACATACAACATGCAACAAATAAGAAAGCATGGTTGACTTCATAGCTTTTTCTAACTGGCCAAAAAAATTAAACATCCACAACTGCTGAAAACAGAAAAATTAATCTTTTCATCAAAACTTGCAGTGTAATTTTGATGATGATTTCAACTGTAAAATAATAATACTATAACAGTTCAATTTTTATCACTAAATACAATTCTTAGATCAGGAAATCATTCTAAAAGTTTAAATTACAACACAAAGCTAATTGAACAAAAGATATTACATGTTATTAAAAATAATTCACAGGAGTTTTGGAGCAAATCTACTAGATTCAATACAAATGATTAACAAAGCATGGAATGAAGTTCCATAAAAAACCATTGCAAATTGCTTTACAAAATCAGGCTTTGGTCAGAAAGTTTTTGATACTTCAAATAAACTGGAATTTTTTATCAGAATCAATTAACTATATTAGAGATGACTGAGCCAGTCTCATTACAGCAATGAATACAAAAAAGTGGCATTCAAAGTTTTGTGAATGTTAACAATGACATAGCTGTCTGCAGACACTATTTCAACAATGATGATGTCTTCAGCTAAAAGAACCAACCAAGTGCAAGAAACAAGTAATGACAATGGAAAAAAAAGAAAGAAATCCTGTCAAAATAGATACTCTGTTCTCCCTAAATGTAGGGAAGCCAGAAAAATCTCTTAAGTTTCCAGCACCTGAAAGGGCTCTCTAGAAACTAAATCATTCATAAAAATAAGATGCTTTTGAGATAGCCACCCACACTGAAAACATTGTTCAGCAAGAAGCAATAAACTGTCAACAACAAACTCATAAACTTTTTCCATTATAGTGTTAATGTTTTGTTATTTTGTACACTATATCTAAAACACAATAAAATATAATGTATTTAAGTCTAACTGTATTGTTTGTATTGTGGTATTTACAATCTCATTAAAATAATAGTAGTTTCCATAGCTCAAAGATTTTCTATCCTTTCCATCTCTTCCATTTAGTATAGTAGATTCTTGATAACTCAAAGATTTATATTTTGATTATTATTTATTAACAAAAGCAGTCATTCATAAAAATTTTGCAGAACAAATAATCTAAATAATCTAATCAACCTGTGTCCAATGAGGTTCTAATATAGTCCCCATGGCAGCATAACTATTTCCCTGTTTTCTGCCTCATACCATTATGCAACCCTAATTAAGCTGACAAGGAATGTTTGTCCACTAGTCATGACAAAGAATATTCAAACTAAATCCAACCAATAAAAAAATGAAAATAAACTATATATTACTAGTTTGCATATCATTAGCATATATATTATTTTAGTGCCTAGTACACTGACAGTTATGGAGTATTTTGGTACTCAGCAAGCTTAAAGCCTGCAACTCCATAAGAAAAATGCATGTAGCCTGCTGGATTCCTATGAAGTTCACTTACAGCATGCATCCAGAAAAGGTTAAACAACACTGATCTAAATTTCTTTATTTAGTTTTAAATATTAACCTACAGACAATTATAAATTACATTNTTTACAAGTATTGGAAATGTTTACTCGTACGCATGACTAAAGACGAAGCCTGGGGATAAAAGCAACCAAGTGAAAATATTACAGGCAGAAAGTAGATTGAAATACAGTCGTACAATTTGTTGTTGAGCTTGAGGCTATTCTTCGACCGCATTCAATTTGTACTTCTTCTGTTAAACACGGATTTAAACAAACGCATTATTTGTAGACCCGTTAGATAATTACAACACGGGTCTTTTAATGAGTGCACTTTCTTATCAACTTAATCTAATGGCTTCTGTATAATTAAATGTGGTCAACTTGTTCTTTTACGATGTTTAACCGTCACACGTTGCTGTTTATTAGATCATTCCATCCCAGTCTAAACAAACTTTAGCTATTGTGTTTAAAGTGAGTCGTAAAAACTTGTTTTTAAATAAGTAAAATTTAATCACCAAAATATTTTTATCTTATATAAATTTATACGTTTTATAAATCCTTAAAAGTTGGCTTCACCGTAAAACAATTGTTATGTAAGATAAACCGATTTACAGGGGTTAAGATAAATGATAAATTAGAAAAATTTTTATTTAAAATAATAATAATAATAATAAATTTATAAAATTAAATAAAAGATTCTTTTATATACTCTTATAGAATATTAACGTGTTTCCCTTTTATCACGATGTACTCGTGATAAAGAGAAAAATGTTAATATTATGTTAGTTATGTGGTATATAAGCGACAATGATGTTCGAGGTTGACATACGACATATGAAATTTGCTGCCCTAACATTTCAGGACCCCTGAGGGATTGTCACTAGGTTGCTATCCTAGAAATCATTTTGTCTCGTGGGAAAGCTAGCTCTCGTCATTGATACCAATCTGTAACCATGAAATTTTTATAGCGCCAACAAATAGGCCTAAATACACTTACGGGAACAGCTAAAAATAGTTATTTTTATGGAAACACGAGTGTTATTTCTAAAATATATAACATAATATCGATATCGGAAGTTAATCGCGCTTTTTCGGTTAAACAAAAAAACACAAAGTTTATTTAAAAAATTACTTATTTTGTTGTTATTTCTAAAATATATAACATAATATCGATATCGGAAGTTAATCGCGCTTTTTCGGTTAAACAAAAAAACACAAAATGTATTTAAAAAATTACTTATTATTATTTAAATGGCATATTGTACAATCATCTTAAATATGGTAATATGCTAACTGTACTGAAAGCTCTTTTGCATACATAAAATATACTTGAAATAGACCCAGGAAAGATTACCAAACTACTGATTCCTAGTGGAAAAAAAATTTGAAAAATGCTGACATATATGTATGGAAGATAGAAGTTAAAGAGCATCAGACAAATGAATTTACAAGACATTATAGTTACTGTATTGGTATACTGGGATCTAGAATCAACTTTTTCTCTATCTCAAGTTTAAATTTAGTGCTTTTAATTAAAATTCAAATCTAAGACATAATAGTAATGATTTTTTTTACTAGTTACTACTGATGTAATAGTTTACTAGAAGTTTGAATCATAATTGTT